TTCGTCGGATCGTTGCGGTCGATTCCGGAGATCGGCGAAGGGGACAGATCGAAACGAAGAATAAAACGAATCGGTCGCTCCGATCGTCAGGGCATCAGGAGGACCCGAGGAGAAAGAGCCGAGTCACACACAGTCGGAGGAAAACAACGCTGGAAGAAATCTAAAGCGCGAAACCTAAGTTGCTTTGACGCTTCGAACGGACGAACGAAAGATGTTTATTACTTTGGAAATTGTTCTGCGTCCTGTTATTGTGGTTCATCTCTGTCTGAACTGATTTGTAACCACTAGTTCTGCGCGCGAGGAGATAAAAAAGGAACAAAATTGTCAAGTCGTTTGAGAAAATCGAGAGCAGAGTTTTTATACCCACATTTTTATGCAGTATTGTGGACAAAATTGTTGTTCGTTCTCTAACTTTGTCTGTACTCGGTTCATTTAAAGCTGGTGGCGAATTGCTTACGTAAAATGCTCGTCAATTTTTTAAAAGAAGCAATGAATTGAACGTGAAAGTTCTCGTGGAGTTTGAAAAAGAAAGAAGTAGATTGTAGTAATTATGATAATTTAAATTTACATCACAATACTACAAATAAATAATAACTCCGCAATTAATTTTAGTAGCTTATATAAAAATATTATCAATATAACAAAATATATAATTACTAATAATTTAATGAAGATTAAATAATGAAAGTTAAATAACGAATGAANGAATTTCTACTATGGTTACAATATATATAAGTGTCTGTAAACATTTCCATGGTGATAATAAAATTACTAGCAATTTTTAAATATTCTGTTGTTTATATTAAATACACATCTCGACGGAACGATTTAATGAACATAGATATCGTTGATCTAAATACTTCAAAGTAGAGGTCGCTACAGATCAAGGATCGTAAAGCGACATCTTGAAATGTGAGAAAAATGTTACTCTGACAAATCGACACCCTTGCATTTCTGTACACGTTAAAGTCATCACTCCCACAAATGTAATTAACGTCCGTGTACAAATACACCCGTTAAACTGATAATATTTCACGTTCTTGCCAATAGTTGGTTTCGGTGATCTTACAAGCCATAAACGTCAACCGGAATGAAGTATGGGAGCCAACGCTTGATTATACGCGCATCCACCGTATCTTAAAATCACGCGCGATATTAAACGTCTCTTCCATGATTTCAATCTCGCTCAAACTAAAAAATCTGCGAAATATCTATCTCTGCATCTCTCGCTTTAACAGAAATTCGTTTGACCTTATACAAACACATATCAGTTTCGTAGTAGGGAAAAATTCGGAAGGGAGGCTATTGTTCCTAAAGATAAATCAAAGGAAAACGCAATAACCTGTCACATTCCGTAGTCGCGGCTGAGCTCTCGCAAGCACAGCCCCGAAGAACGCGACCAATTACAGCCAGAAGAAAACCGAACGGTTTCCGGCGTGTTCCATTGGAAATTGCGTGGCATTCGCTAATTGCCCGAGTGAAGCGGGCACTCGCTCGCGCGTGCATCGATTCCTTCTCTTCCTCCCTAGTGAAACACGCCGGCGGAAATCAAAAGGCAGGGTCTCCCTACTCTGGTGACATTTTTGGTTCGCTTGAACTGTGTCGTAATTACTCGAATTTCCGGCTATAACAACAGCTGGCGAGATAATTTTAATATGCACATACGAAGCCACGCATTGGCATTCACCAGCCGTGATTAACCACAATTTAAAAGCGTCTTGTTATATTTCTTCTCGCGTTTCTCGTCGCAACATCGTAGCAGTCTCTCTATATACCTGCGCGTAGCGATGGGATTAAGCTATACAAGATATCTACGGATAGTATCTCAGATACTACAAAGTATCATCGTAGTTACGAATCTAAATTAAATTTTCGTGGGTTTCAGATGCTACTCGAAAGTAAGCACGTTTCAGCAAAAATTATTCTGAAAGTCTACACTTATGTACTCGTAAGTACTACGTATATAGTGGTATAAGCTAGGTTAGGTGTTTATTATAAGGAGAAAAGAAAGCTCAAAGATCAGACATAAAATGGAGAAGCATATTCTTGTTTTTAAATCGCATGTAAAAATCGTCCATCCGTACTGTGTCATTCGAGAATTCCCTGAACTGTATTATCGATCGTTTTTTATTAATTGTCAGATTAGATTATAGCGCATGTTTGAATCGATTTTTAGCAAAATGGAAGAAAAAAGAAGAGGCGAACGCATTTGCGAAAATTGCATTGGAAAGATCATCAATATGAAAATGGGATTTAGATATAAAGGGGATTTGGATCTCATGCGTGTTAGATATATAGTATGCGTATCAGACATGTGCGTGTCACATCATAGCATGCGCATCAGACGTACTTCGAAGGCGCAGTTCACGCATACATTTGAAAATCGCATAGAGTAAAGCCAGAAATATCCAAAAATCCCACCTTAAAAGTTTCGAACTTTTATAGAAAGATTACATTAATTAATTTCAGGTGAAATTTAAATTAATATTAATAGTATAAATTTATTATTATTATAAAATTATATTATAGATGAAAATATATTAAAATTAAAGAATAGACTAGGATTAGATACTCTATTATATTCATATGAGATAAAATTTTTATTATTAAATGTCGAATCATTGAAATAAAATAATATGGCTTTCAATCTTTTCAATTTGATAATCCACGATGAGATATACTCAAATTACATTTATATATTCTTATTAATATTTACAATTAAATATTAATATTCTTATTAATATTTACAATAAAAATTTAATAAAATAATGTTCTAAATCAAACTGTGGAATATTTAAGAATAAATGAATTACGAAAAAAAAAAATTTCATTTTTGAATAATTGATTTTAATATTAACTCGTAAGAGGAAACTTGTACGCAAGGTACTCGATCCCATCTCTACCTGTATGTCATCAGTTTCGTGTACAGGCTGGTAAAAGACCATCGTCTCTGATACACACGCACATATACGATCGCAGGAACCAAAGAGGAGCATGTAAGGGTGGAATATAATTCAATGCCTGCACGGCGATTGCGCGTTCTTTTCGTTCGAGCGCGATATAACGCGCGAATTACTTGCACGTAATATATTACGAAACAAAGCCCGTTAATGTCACGAAACGGTAAGCTGCAAGGTATTTTGTTTAGTGTCCCGTAACTTATGCTGTCCGCGCACGACTTTATAAGAAGGATAATTGAGTACTCGTATGAAACGACTGCTAATACGGCCGGCCGTTTTTACGCGCGCCCAACCTGAACGTAAATCTGTTCGTTCGCGGGGCGATATCTGAAAATGTCCCGGCTGATTTACGAGCCGGATCAGTTGCACGGATATATCAGAGCCCGTGCGTACAAAGAGCGCTCGACCATATGAAAACTCTATTTTTTACGAAACACTTCATGCTCGTCAATATATAGCGCTTGCACGCGTGGGTGGAAAAAACGTTCAACTCGTGTAAATTCGTGAATTAAGCTTGTCCGATCGGTATACTATTTTGCTACGACTTGCTATCGTGGTCGTACACGTTGTTGCGAAGATATCCGAGCGAAGGGTGTTATTTTATTTCGTGCTTGAGTGACGAGAGAGATTTTGTAGACTTTTGTAATAAAAGGCATAATTAAAACGAGAGAGATTAATTATATGAATAGTTGGCGCGACGAATCTGTGTATCTTTATCCCTTAATTAGCCCATCTATCCGATAATTTAGAGTTAATTGGAGATTGATAATTTAGGATTTTTAATTTAACTTCGATCACGAGGGAATATAAAGTACAGAATAGAATGGAATTAAATTATATTCCAAATTCATTCACTAAATCTAATATAAATTACTGTAGTCGTCTCTATAACTCGACGACTCTCAAATCTGTAGAGATCATCAATTTCCGAATTCAGAACGTTATAAATGTAAAATAATTAAAAAAGTTTCTCGGATGGAATAAAAAAGTCTTTAACCTTCTCCAAGTTTCGTGAATTTTCTCAATGACAAATATAGTATATTTATGATAAATTTCAAGTTTCTCAATAAAATTATAACTTTAAGATTTATATTATAACTTTAAGAATTATATTATAGAATTATAACTTAGATTTAATGGATATTGACGTGCTTTGAAAAAAAAGCGATATTTCATGTGCACCAACTTGATACTATAATTTCCAATTTTCATGTATCATTTTTCATTGTTTTCATCCATAATTACTTGGCTTATTGCTTCACAATTTACTTTGACTCGATAATTTCACATAAAATATGTGTTGCAGGTCATTCTTCTACTTTGCCCACTATCTTATTACTGACATTATTGCTACTCGCTGCATCATCCATTATTCATAATGCAGCCTGACGGACGATATATTCATCAAACTTTTCATGTGAAAAAAAGAAAAAGAGATTCTGCCAGTCAGCCTTGAAACATTTTTTACAGCGACGAGATGAAACAGCTGCGCATCGCAACGATTTCAATATTAAAGTGGAATATAAAGAAGCGTATTGAAGCTCAGCGTCCTTATAAATGAAAGATACAAGAGAATTAATTTGCAAGCGTAGAGGAGGGGGGGGGGGGGAAACACGGCAAGAATAATGAAACATAAATGTCAATTCTCTTATTAATAAATTACATTGGCACATTACGAACAATCATCAATGGTCGTTCCCGTGTCTGAATATCATTACTCTCGAAGCAATTGAGTAGTGAAATTTGCATTCAATCGTAGAAAGTATTATACACGCCTAATGCTTCTACGCAAATCCCTCCCCTGAAATATTATCATAAGAACACTATAGAGCCTTGCGACATTCTTCTTGCAATACTCTTTGTAATTTTCAATTTTTCTTTTTCTTTCCTTTTTCTTTTTTTTTTTTTCAAACGAGAGTAATTGTAAAAATCGATTTATGGTTTATTGGAAGACGGTGTAAGATATATATCAATCAACTGTACGATTTCGATTCATAAGTCAAGACATGAAAGTGGATTTCCAATTTCTTTCAATTTCAGGGTGGTTTTCTGTGATATCGGGCAATAATACCACGGGTAGTGCGAGAGTCTACAGAAGAGTGGATTCCTTAGTACGAGCAGGAGTACCAGCATTTCTTCTGGCTGCACCTTTAAGGGCATATATCTTGACCCACTCGAAAATGGGTAAGTGAAAATAGCAATAACAAAGTAGCAGTAAATAGATAATAATAATAAGCTCTAAACTCGTCGTGTACAGTTTCTCACAAAAATATTTCAACATTTTGAACGATACCACTTTGAAATGTTATTACAATTGAAATGTTGCCAAGACTTAACTAACATAATTGCGATATGATCAAGGTTGAAGCAAATTTGGAAATATATTCAAAGTACGAAATTATTTAAACAACCACAATCCATCATATCAATACTAACATTGTAATGAGATTTAACAATCAACGATATTATGTCAATCTGAATTAATATTATCAAACACGAACAAATGGATATATTTGAATTACAAAAGCATTTAAACAATTATATTAATAAGCCTAATTTTTACTGGAACCATCTTCCACGCCTATTATGTTCTTGAGACTTAAGATTCAATCATCTTAAGTGTAACTTTTATACATATTCTCAGATGCGTTTCAAATGTTAATTTAATCATAATTGTTGTTTCATTTCTCATTACAATATTAATAAAATTTCAAAGTGTTTTATGCAACACGTATGAAAGTTCTTCTGTGGTAAATGTACGAATACTTTCGTACGTGAGCGACGTATGCATGAGTTTGTTAATTATACAATGAATGAATTACTTTTTTGCCGTTAGGATCTCTTGATTAGCATTAGTATCTCTGTTAATGTTCCCAGTCTGAGCTATTATCGCGTCGCGTCGCACTGAATTTGTAGAATATCTGAACCGGAAATGTTATTACTCGAATGAACTTACCAAGCTGTAAGTTACCAGTTGTAAGAGAGTTAAAAAGTAAAAATATTTTTCCCCCAATTTATTTATATTGTACTAAAATTCCTCTATATATAAACAAACAAAATTAACATTTTCAGATGGACTTTCAGTTTTAATTTAATAATTTAATTATACCAAAATGCTATAGATAGATTATAGATAAATTCTCCTCAGTATAAGAAACATAACAATGATGTCAACATAATTATTAAGAAGATACAGAGATGATACAAAATGTAATAAAACGTAGACGTAAAATGAAAGAACGAGAGAGAAAGTACATAAACGGAAAAAAGTGGAACAAATGAGGAAAAAAATAGACATAATAATACTCTAGAAACATAAAAATGTAAATATTTAAAATAAAACAACAAATGATTCAAAAGCTAAAAAGATATGAAACGTAGATATGAATAAAAGAGGAAGGAAAGCATAGTACGTAATCTCGGTAGAGCAAGGAAGAAATTAAGTATGAGCGAAAAGGGTAGAATCAAAAGTAGTAGAAAAGGTAAAGGAAGCAAGAGACAGGAAAAGAGAGCAAAAAAGGAGAGAATTAATGACACACGTGAACGTAATATCGTAATGTCAAGCAGCAACGTTCTTGACCTAAATGCATATAAATATCAGCGTTCGTATTCTAACTTGGTAAAAAGAGAAATATATGGGGAATGCGCAAATTATACGTTTGAAGCGGTAGCAGAAAGTTAAATGCGGTAAATAGAGTATATAGCGGCGGAAATATACAAAGCAAAATTTCTGTTTCTGTTTTACATGCTGGAATTATCGATATTAATCCCAAGTGAGATGCTATATTTAATTATGTTTTCTATAAAATGAAAACTTGTACCGTCGAAAAGAATTAATAAGACTGAAAACATTGTTCAATACCAAGATAGATCATTATTATTACTGAATATTTATTCTAAAATAACGTCGTACTATTTTCAATCACGAAAGAAACGATTAGACAGTAAATTTTTATGTAAATTCATAATCATCTGTTTAAGAGTATAATTCAAAAAAATCGATAGAAAATTCTTTCACCTATTATATATTATAGAAAGCATGAGATTAACAACGTATATAAATTACATAATACGCAATGCATATGCATATGTATATTGTACATATGTAATAAAGCAGAATAAAAACTTTGGATAAAGACTCATGAAATCACGTAAAAGATAGAGTAAAGAACACTCATCTCTGTTTCTCACAACGTCAACTTTATGAATTTTATAATATTTATTAATATTAATTTTTTTATTAACTTTACTAATATTAATTTTTCAACCAGAAATTGTTACAACGGAGTTACCCAATTTTCGTTTATGGCCATAAGACGATATTCGTCTCGGTCAGTTCTAAACCAGAACAAAACGCGAAGGAAAGCTTCACGACCGCAACTGGCAAACCGCAAACGGCAAGAATTCCAGCCGAAACCGCAAATGATCTAACCACAGAGAAAGTACAGAATAGTCCTGACATTCGATATTTTTTCGTATCTCGCGATTTCGGAAATCGCGTTAGATACGATATGAAAAGTATCATATATGATGAGAGTTAAAAAAAGATCGTTGAAAGTAGTAAAAATTATCTTGAAGAATGAAATTATTCAATGAAGTTATTTAATTGAAGAAAAATATTACTTTATCAAAAATGTTAAGAAAAAATGCGAAAAGTTTCCATTGAAATTGACTGCTTTATATTGACTGCTCTGTTCAAGAATTAACGAGAATTTTTTAATTGCCTAGTAAACTTTCTAATAACATAAGAAAATAATCGCAAAGCAAGCTGCTTATATTATTTGGTATCTATAATATATAATTTACAATTCCTTATCCTATTCAGCGTTAACTTATTGTATTTAACTTTAAATGAAAAATTGTCAAAATAAATCGCAAAGAGTGTTCAGTTTATTAAATAATTTGCAATTGACAAAAATGTAAAAAAAAATTCTTCAAAATTCATATATAATTTGTTTTAATTGTTTATACGACACTAATAAATATTAATTGATGAATTCATATTTAAATATAGAAAATACTAATGCTGAAAAGTCCAGCACAACCATATGTATAAAATACTCCTAATATAATACATATATATGTATGTATGTATATAAAAAAGACTCCTAATGTAAATATGACCATCTTTATGCAACTTTTTTAGCTGCATCAGATGATCCAGGATCCATCAATGACAGAATCAGTGAAAAAATCTTGAACATTTTATAGTCGCAACACTATTTGCACAAATCGCGATCATTCATTGAATTGAAGGAATAATTCAGTCACGATAGGAAAATATCGCAACATTAATTTTAAAAATAATTGTCCATATACGAATAAAGACCTACTTTTAAGAATTCGCGATAGCTATAAAATCGCAATGCTACAAATTTAATTACAAGTTAACCAATTTAACTTTAAGCATATAAATAAAATGAGGCGTTTATTTAAGAAAAGAATAGCGATATTTCATAATTCGCAACGCTAAAGCAAAAGTGACAATAATTTCATCACAACTCCGATTCAAACCGAATCAACAACGTTCGCAACTCTAATTCAAATTGATATTAATTAATTGCGACACTGATAAAAAACCGTGATTTGTCCAAGATGATGGTGAGCCAAAATATAATATTGAAACAAACTACAACTAGTATTACTACTACGAGCATAACGACAAAATAATAACAGGAATGGCTATATTTATTCTGGAGTCTCAATATTATTTACAAATATTCTCAATATTATACAAGTATTAATTATTACTAACATTCAACAATCGATGTGAATTAAAAGTAAAACACACGAAAAGAAATATTATTATTCATAGGTATAAGATATACCCACGGTCATTATGCTCGTCAAAAATTTTATGTAATACAACCAGTCACTCATGTTTTGATTTAGACCATTTGTCCTATAACATGATTGAGTGACTTGAGGAACGAAAATGTATATGACTTACCATTAAATGCGAAAAACACTGTCACTGACGCTCAAATAGTTTAGAAATCGTCATAATGAAGATTGTCATCAAGGAGGAAACGTTGAAGTGAAAGTGGAGATTACAAGTAATCTTTAACAAAAAAATTCCAGAATTAAAAATTTATAATTCTCGAAGCATGTTAAAATTGCATGTTAAAGCAAGTTTTATTTTATAATTCAATCTTTGAATATAAGAAACAGAATTGATTGAATTGCAGTATGCAAAGTTACTTACATTCTTAGCTTCCGAAGCTAAGTGTTGAATCATTTCCAGAAACAAAGAAGAAATGGTAGTTGTGAAAAACCTTTAACAAAATGTGAAATATTATTTGTCGGTTATTTAAAAAATTTAAGAAAATGCAAAAAAGAAAACGCACACTATGAAACTTGGAACTTCAAGTGTAATAAAAATTAAAATTCTAAAAAAATTACTATAATTACTGTAAAAATTGAAACGCTAATATAACAATATGAAATGCAGAAATTGTGAATCTAAGTCATGTCTTAGATATTTTCAAGTCCAATTATTTAAGATTTTATGAGATGACACTAGCATAGAGTAATGTGAAACTACTTTTTGTTAGAATAAATGAAAAATTACCAGAACTCCAAACTGCTTGACCATCATTGTAGCATTTATAATTTGAAGTGCTATTCCTTCCGGCCATTAATCTGTACATAAAAGAATCGACAATTTAAAACAAATACAAGCAATTAAAATCAATTGTTTTAAAATAAAATAAAATAAAATAATAATCTAATTGAAAGTCTGTCCTAAAAATAAACAACAAAAGCTATTGATGGTATAATTGTAAGCTAAATATGCGATCAAAGAAGAAGGAACAAAAAGAGAAGCTACCTAATTATAATAGTATTGAATAAATTAATAAATAAATGTATTAAGAAATGTATTAAGAAAACGAACCTAATAGTAATCTAAGAAGGCAACAAAATAGCAGAATAAGAACGAAAATACGCAACTATACAGACAACAAGTCGTAATACGATTACCCTAACGATACGATTATCAACAACTGAATGACACCCCGCGTAACAATTTTGCCTTACACGTGTCGTAATGGTGGGGATGTTTACCTCAGCATCAAATCGAGTATGGAAGAATTGAAAAGTGTTTTCAGCATGTTTTGTACAATACAAAGAAAATAAACACGTTTGAAAGAGATATATTAGAGAAGAAGTAATTCAATTATAAATAAAATTGCAAAAATTCTTCTTCACTGTCTCTATAATTTTTTTTTTTTTTTATACTTTCATTTCCGTGCTTTCGTACAAAACTAATGATATTTTTCATACCAAGCTAATGAATTTCTATTTGCAGAAAATGGAAATTTACGAGCTCACTATACGAAAACCACGATCAGAGCGGGTGAAATTCTACGATTAATAGCTGTCTTTCAAGACACGAGGAAGTGTAGTACAGTTTCATTCGGAATTTCCGGCAGTTCTTCCGAAAAGGATCAGTACGCTCAGTGCTTGGATCCACACGGTCGAGAAGTATTTGCTCCCTTATCCGCAAGAGGTGAATTTTACGCAATTTGCCAGAATGGAAGCATCGATACCGGAAGCGATGCAGTGCTGTACAAAGTACATCATCTTGCGAAAAGACCATTGCCTCTCAGGGTAAGCTTATTTCCTTGTTCCTTCTTCATTTCTTTATTTCATGATCTTGTTAATTACTCTGATGACGCTCTATCTTTTGCTTATGCTACAAGATTCTGTACATTTGAATATTTACAGAAATCTAAAGAACCAGAGCTTGAAGCCTACAAATAATCAATTAGTACGAAAAATGTAAATAACAACGTTGGTATTAATACAAAGAGCATAAAGTTTCTGTTGTTTACAGGTTCGTTTAATAGCCGGCCCACTACCTGTACCATTGCCGAGGGAATACGGTGGTTTAATGCAATTGGAAAGCTCGACTCGAGGGCCAATTGTTTTGGGCTGCATCGTGCCAGAAAGACCAGTCCACAATCCCGAAATGCTTGAATTAGTTGTAACCGGAAATGGAGCGCCAAGAGTGAGAAGAGCTCGATTAGGTTATCCGTCAGAAGCTAGACTTTTGGCATCGCCAAAAATGCAACGATTACTATCTGCCTGCAGGTAAACAACATTACGTTTGCGCAATTTAACTTACGATGTTGTTATTATTTTCTTTATTTGAACTTAACCTCGTTTGTAATTTGTTTGACTGGAAAGATAATTATGAACGATAGTTGATAATGATATTCAATTAATGATTTTGCATATTACATCTGCTATTTTTTTTAATTTTAATACTTATCCGCGGTAGATCGGTATATCGAAAGGATCGATTTCTCGTGTACATATGCGCGTTCATTTCAATAGGAAAAAGTACATTATATGCGATCAGGAGTAGAAAATAATATACCGTACAGTGTCCCGTATCGCGGATGGAAAACATGCAGAACATTTGTAAATATATAATTCTAATGTGGCCTAACCTGTTCTTCCACTTCAGCCGGGCTGTCGGAGATCGTGCAACGGAACCAAGAGTGGCACCTCTGAAGCTGCATCCAGTTGGTGAAAATCTCAAAGAGATGCATCTGAAGAAAATCAAGCCGAGACCGGAAACGAAGCCAATTCTACAGAGCTTGAAAGACGGGCTGGAACAGCTGAAGAAGAGCACCGTTAGGGAGAAGAGCCAGACCAGACAGAATTGTCGGAACGGGTTTCTGGATCGAATTTCGAAACTCGCCCAGGGTAGTCGTGGCAGAAATCCTGCGAAAAAATCGGCCTCGTTCACGTTTGCCGTGAAACCAGAGATCGCTATGAGATGTCAAGAGCGTTACTCCAGTTTGGAGCCAGAAACTACCTCTCATCCGAGTCACTCGAACTCTTCCAAGCAACTTGTACAAAGATCAGCGTCCACCAGTGTTTTAGAAATGCCGGCAAATGTTGAATTGCAGCCCGATTACTCCCACGTTAGAGACAGTCTCACGCCAGTGCCATCCTTTTCCAAATTAACAACCAGGACCAAAGCTGATGACATTTACGCGGAAATTTGTGAAAACGCGGCGGCACAAGTCCAAAAGTGTCCCGGAAGTCACGTGATGGCCAGGATCAAAATCGTTGTAAAAGGCCGCGATTCGCCGGCAATGCTGCCACGCAACATTATCGACGAAAGTCGATACGTAAACTCGATGGTAACGAACGATCAAATTGATTCGATTATCAGCACAGAAGATGAAGTTATCTACAACACGATATTTTAAATATATAAAGAATCTTATTGCGATAAGTCAATGCGGCTGTGTTTGATAATCGAGTACCCGTTGATTATTTTTATCAACGTACCATTAGAAATTGAATCTGTATCATATTATACAAAAAGCACCACGATATGTAATATTTTAGAAATCGTAATAATTGCATGTACATATGTTTGCCATACGTACTAACAATAGTAATGAAAATGAATAAAATTTTGAGAATAAAAGACGGCTTTTTTCTTAAAAAAAAAAGAAAGAAAAAAAACGGATCGATATGATCACGTGCAGGGGGAAACCTGTCCAATCTTTCTTAAAATAAAATTTGTTTTATTGCAAAAAAGAAAGAGAAAGAGAAGATTTACAAAATAAAACGAATGAGAGAAGATGTATGAAATCTTTATTTATAAATCACTCCCTTTCAATAAAAAAGAATTCATGTTACACTTCGTTTGTTCCTATTCTTCTTTCTTTGAACTTTGCTTTTAAAAGAATTCTTATTTACGTTAGATTTTTTATTTCTTTCTTTTTTCTTCGCTGGAATTTCTTCTATAACTTTTTTCATCACATCAACGGCTTTCTGGTGGTCTTCGTTTAATTTAAATTCGGTACTGATATCAGGATATTTCCCGGAAAAACCTTTCGGAAATATCGTTTTCGACATAAGCGATGCCAACTGACGCTTTTTTATTTTTAAATGATGCTTCAAATCTGCTGTTTCTTTCATTTCTGTTGTCAAATCTCTGGGGAATAAAATTACTTTTATTACGAAAGAAAGCATATATTAATAATGTATATTATGAACGATTCTGATTAAGTTAAATCTTACTCTTCGTCCTCCTCCAAAACCAGATCCATTTCTTCAACTGCTTTACGTAACCAACCTTTTTGCGAATTATCCTTACGACATTTCAATTCCAATTTATCAATTTCTCGAGCAATATCAACTCTTTCTTTAACTGCGATTAACAGTTTATCAACTACAGGAAACATAGGTAAATCTTCCGCTAGAATTTAAACGATTGCATACATTTAAAATTAATAGATCATTTTAACAATATATCATTTTTTTAATTTGTTCACTTACTTCGATCAAGTGTTTTACATAATTTACTATAATATTGCTTTTCGGATGGTTCCATCATAAGAACTGTTATACCATCCTTTTGTGCTCTTGCTGTTCTCCCACTTCTATGTACATAACTCTAAATAATAAATACGAATATAAAACTGAAAGTAACTTGTATTTTTATTAGACATGTAATAATATCATATTAACTTGATTAACTGAGCAAATTAATATTTTCATCATTTTTTGAAGTAAGGTGAACAAGCAAATAATTATTTCACCGATATTATATCCTAACATTACGTTTATTTAATGCTAATTTGCTTTATATTCATTTAAACATACCTCACTTGTTCTAGGAACTTGATAATGTATCACATGCTCAACATTTGGAATGTCCAAACCTCTTGCAGCTACATCAGTAGCTATTAATAATCCGTCTTCATCCGCCTGAAATCTAATTTTTCTTATTATCTCAAAATTATGTATATATATTTAAAAAAACTTACCTTTCAAGATTTTTTAATCTTTGTCTTTGCTGCATACTTGCATGTAATGGTAAAGGTCTACAATCAAGTATTCCAAAAAGAGTAGCTAAGCGTTTTACACAACCAATACTATTACAGAACACCAATGTTCTACCAGTATATCTTTTCAAAAAGTAATAAAGATAATAATCTTTATGCTCTATTGTACACGCTATTCTACATTCCGTTAAATTAGTGGCCGTACCTGGAGAATAATTTTAATTATAATATGCTAAATGCATTATTTTTAATTATCTGATTTAAAAAATTCACAACCTGATTTTTTAGTGACATCGATAATTTTTGGATTTTTAATTCCCACCAATTCCATAATTTTTCGTAATTTTTGATCTGGCGTAAGCTTTTGTATTTTGCTTTTACTATGCTTCCTTTTTTTCTTTTCTAAATATTCTGGAATATCATGCACCATAGTTAATGTAGCAGAGAATACAAATGTTTGCCTTTCTCTCACTTTCCTTTCATTTGTATTTATTTTTTCTAGTAATTGTTGCAATTCTTGAAAATGTCCCTTTTCTAACATTCTATCTGTTTCATCAATAGCCAAATATCTGTTTCATATTGTTTAATGCATATAAAACATTATTTTAATAATATATGTAAACTATACAAAATTATTATTAAGAAAACTATTTCATAAAAAAAAAGAAAGAAAGAGATGAAACTTACTTAATAGAATCCACTTTGTTAAGATGTGGATTACCTTGTTGTATTAATTCCCATAATCTACCAGGTGTAGCAATTACAATCTCAGGTTCTTTACTTAATATTCTTTCTTGTTTAACTGCAGCCATTCCTCCTAATACTACAGCTATCTAAATAACATAAATACTTAATGTAATTAATACTAATTCCCAGAATTTATTTATTACTGATATTTTCTTAAACACCTACTTTAATATCTGTATATTTGACTACTTTAGTTAAATGATTCTTAATTTGAATAGCCAATTCACGAGTTGGTGTTAATATTAGTGCATAGAGTGGCTTCATATAATTTTGTGTTTCATTCATTTTTACATTATTAATTACACGTACACAACCTATATTATTTTCATTAAGACTTTCAACATCTTCTTCATAATCAAATTCAGATGAGCTATTATCATTTTCTATCATTTCATTCTCAGAACAAATCCAGCCTTTATTGTCAATAATTTCACTTGTTTTCTTCCTAAATTCCATATCTGACTCCTTATTTTTTAATTGTAAAATACCGTTTATAATTGGAATTCCAAATGCCAATGTTTTTCCACTACCTGTTTCAGCTGCACCTAATATGTCTCTATGACCCAATATTGCTGGAGGTAAAGTTAATGCTTGAATATGAGTTGGAATATAAAATTGTTGATCTTTTAATGCCTTTATTATAGGAGTGGGTACACCTAATATATGCCATTGTTGAGCATTATTGTCATTTATATCATTTTTTTCATCATTATATTCATTAGAAAATTGATTGTTATTATTAGAATTGGTGTCCACACCATTTTTTGAAGATAAACATTTTGATACTTTTTCATCGCTTTTTCTTTTTAATTTCTTTTCTTTAGATTTTAGTTTCTTAGCTTTTTTTAATAATGGTTCATTAACATCTATATCATTTTCTAACCATATATTAGAACGTTTACGCTTTGGTGATACCTATAAAGCAAATGATAAAACACATGAATATACCAAAGTTTATTACATTAATTTAAAATTTACCTTATCTTTTTTGATATTGCTTTCCTCATTGCAAATTACAATCTTTGTCTTGTTGTTTTCCTTTTCCAATTTATAATCAGTTAATTCCTCAATACCAATTAAATCTTCAACATTATTAGAAAATACAGAACCTTCTAATTTTAGTGGTTTCCAGCCACTTAAATTATTATGTTTCTTTTTTGTCATAGTTTTTACACTAACGTTGTCTACAATTAATAAATAATTTTTAAGTTTCCATAACCACAAACAACGTAATTAAAAACACACGTGAGGGATGAGGCATATACAACAGAAAGATAAGTAAGTATACTCATAGCATGAAACAAGTATACTAGAAATTCTGTATAAGTGTACATATAGAATTATTATAAGTACAATTAATAATTTATTAAAAATTATATATTTATTTTATTATAAATTGCCAATTATAGAATAAAATATTACTTGAAAATAATTAAGATTGTTAATATTTTCTTAATAATGAAATGATATTTTTAATATAGAGATATAAATATATAAAGAATTAAAATCAATAATACTTAGAAAAAACAGAAAAATTAAATAAAATTACAAAGTAATGAAATACTAATTTCTGAAGATTGTTGTGGAATAATCTCAAGACATATATGAAGAATAATTTCAAAACATTTAAGTATCAAAGTATACTATATGTTATACATATATATTTAATACATAAATAAAAATTAATATAACTAAATAATTTTTAAAATACTATATTGTACATAAAATTATTATTTTATATAACGTTATACTTAATACAAAAGCAACTAGGTATTAAATTTAATTTAAAAAATTATTTTTTTATTTACAAGATTTTTGTATACAACAACGTGTAGTAAGACATAAAAATTTACAATTATCTATTTTGATTTTCATTATTACTAGTTGAATTATTTGCTAGAATTTTACTGTCTTCAGTCAAAAGTGCTTTTTTTTCTTGTGAATTAGCAGATACAGTTTTCTGTTCCACAAGTAAATGTGATTCTGATATTTTTAATTTCTCCAATTGTGAAGCAGACGTATCTATGTCTGCAGTATCAGACGATGAAGATATTTCAGAAGTTCTTTGTAAGAATAGTGATTGTACGTTAGAAACTGAGAGATTTTTCGAAATTGGTAATAAAGGAGTTAAAGGCTCCAAAATAATGTCTCTGTTTAAATATGTTATCCCCTACAAAAGATACATATTATTTTTGTTATATATCTATCAATATATGATTCATTTGAGAAAAAAAATGATTTATTAAAAAAAAAAAATTCATTTAATTGCGTATGTTCATTTACCTGTTCTTGCAACAAATTTTCTGAGACACCCAAATGAATTGCACTTTGATTTGGAGGAAAAATAACATGAATACAATATTGTACATAAGGAATTAATTGCTCACTCAAATTTTCTATAAATTTGAGCATATTTTCTCTTTCTGAAGCTGTAAAAGCCTGAAAAATAAATGAATTGTATTAGATATTTATTTAATTAATTATTTAATTAAACGATCGATAAAATATGAATTAAAAATATTAATTTACTTGCTGTTCTTGTTTGTAAAAAAGTAATATTGATTTTGCTACGTTATGTAAAGACTCCTGTAATATCTTTGTACAAAAAACAGAAAGTGCTACTGGTGGACAAAGTCGTATTTCATTAAAAGCTGAAATAAGTCCATTACAATATTCAGCTAAAGGATAAAATTCAACCAATTGTTCTGGTGGATTCTCCTGCAAAACACGATTTTCTTTACAAGGTATACATTATGTATAAATTTATTGTTGCATTTCATTAAACAAACGAGAATATATAATAAAATAAATAATTATTTACCGATTTAACAGTAGTAGGCATTTTAATATTGGTCTTCTGTATTTTATTAATTAAAGTAAATGATTCCATATCCTTCTCAAATTTTTTTGTTGTCTTGCGAACACTAGACTCAAATTTTTCTCCAATAACACGTACAAATATATCAGACATTCGACCCGTAAAATCGGCACCTACTCTACCAAATGATAAACCAAAATATGTGCATTGACCCAAAATAGAATCTATTGATGTCACACCTGGTAAGTCTTGTTCTAAAGTTATTAAAAATTGAGATATCTAAAAAAAATTAAATAAATTATATTAAAAATACATTTTTAAAAAACATAAATATTTTACATGCCTTTTCTTCAATCCAATGATAAAATATGGCACACTCGTTTACAGTTAAATCTCTTCCTGATGTTATTAGTTCATCATCATTAAACATAGCTCTATATTGCGTTATTATATTAAATAAATGTATCCTTGATAATTCTATTGTTTTTGTGATATGAAGATTAGCTAACGAAAATATTGCACATTATTAAATTATCTAATGACAATGTATCAACATCTGATATTATATACAGAATCAACTTACAATCTTCTTTAGGTATAGCATTTAAGAGACTTTGAAGCCAACTATCGCGTGCTTGTAGAAATTTAATACGTAATTCAGGTTCTGTAAAAGCATCCATTGATCGTAATAGCCCAACAAGTTGTAGACATCTTGCAAGTGGTAAATCCCCTCTTAATGAACCAACAACTTGTCCTACCATGCCAGACCAACTGCTTTCAATTTCTGCTACTATTGCCTAAATCATTAATAAACAAAATGAAATATATTTTGTCATGTTTCGTAAACATATTATATTTTACCGATATGATTGGAATATCTCCATGTTTAGTTCCTAACTGACGTGCATATTGTGATAATTCTAATGCCTCATTATACTGACTACTCCTCAAACAAGATTCCATCAGCTGAGGCATTTCAAGTACTTCAAGCAACTCTGCATTTCTTGTTAATGTTAAACTATTTATTCTTCTATATGTATTTATGTCTTTTGACGTATCACAAAATGATTGGCACTTTTCCACAAACTTAGGTATTTTTTGCACAAGTCCATCAAGTCGATTTTCAGTCTCATTAAACTTAAAATTAAATAACATGTTTTTATTAGTGAATATATTAATAAAACTGTGAATAATAAGATCTGTTATATTATTACTTGTTTAAATATTTCTCTAGAACTTTCTGCTGTTTGCACAAAAGTTTTATAATTTGCAAACACCAACTCCTGTGTAGTTTGCAGTACTGAAGTTTTTTCATCATTTAAATGATCAGGCTCTTTATCTAAAAAGAAATATATTATATTCTGTTTCAAATAAAAAAATTATGATTAGAATTTGTCTTACTGAGTTGATCAACATCGTAACCACCAACTTTTGACAAGTATTGATAAAAATTTGGATTTTCCTTCCATGATTCTATAAGAATACATGATAATGTACATTTAAAATTAAAAATTTACTTCAAACAGATAATTTAAATATAGTAACTCAATGTTGAGAAGTAAATTTGTTGCTAATGTAAAAATAAATATTAGTTACCTGGTATGCCATTTGGAAATACAAGATTTATTACATTTTCAGTTTCAATATCCATTTTTTATTTAAATAATACATTTGTACATATAATGAAAATAATTAAACTATTATCATGTACTGCATGTTATATGTACAAGTATTACACGTCTAAAATATTGTTTCGTATCTTGATAGAACACCTTGATTGTAGTAGTACAATTATTGGCTGTTGGCTATACGCATAACATACAGGTCTATAAGGAATGTCCAATGATTTTAATTCTTGACTGAACTACTATATTATTAGTATAAAGAAGTATAAAATAGTGTATAAAAAATTAAATTGTGGTGTAAATTAATTTAAATTTAATCGAACATAAAAGAATCAAAATGTATAAATAAAGTACATTTAATATTGTTATTATAAATATATTAAATTAAAACTATTCTGAATTTATAAGTTAAATATTTCTAAAATATAAAAATTTTATATTTAAAAAATAGTTTATCCAATCCAATTTTCATTAACAAAAGTATCTTTTAAATCAGAAATTTATAAAGTGTTTAAATTAAATTTAATAATTACATATAAATACCACATTTAATTTAAACTTTTGAACAACAAATAATGCAGATAGATTTTGCGAAATTTTAATATGAAATAATTTTTCTTAAATATATTGTAGAATATAGATACCATCCTATATGTGTAGTATATAAGTTCATATATATATCACCATTGTATACATAAGTACTATCTAGTTATTAAAAATAACATATTTAAGTTAAAATAAATAATTAAAATTATTTATTGAAACATTGACAATAATACCCAATAATAATTTTATTCACTACAAAATGATATTAAATGTTCTTAAACAGGTAAATACATATCTTTTTTATTCAAAATAAGGTTATGTTTATCGTATGTATTAAAATGATTGTTTAATCAAATTGTATGTGTAGATAACAACATACTATCAATGTCCATTATTTAATAAAGCAGTGAGGCTTTACGGTATATATGAACCGCCATACATAAAGGTTTTTTTCATAAATTATATGTTATTTTATTTGTATTATGTTTGTTTAATATTTAACTTATTATTATATTATTATAGGCAAAGGAATTTGAAATACCACTTTATCCTGTTTTAAATATACAACTTAGAGGATACAAGTATCCTGTACTAGAGAGTTATCAAAGTTTTATTCATAAAATAGTAAAAGTATTTGACTTTACTGTTAATGATAGGTAATATTACAGTCGTATTGTTTTAATGTAAACAATTATTTGATATTATGTATCTTAATAATATATTATATGTTTCTATAGCATTCCTTTTCCACATAGAGAATTTAAGATAAAAAGACTTAAAATAGGAAGTACTATAGTTGATGCTGAATATGACTTAAAAATTTATGAGAGGGATATACAAATATCAAATGTCTCATCTACAAAATGTCCCATTTTTATTAGAGTACTAGAAGCAAGCTTGCCAGAAGGAGTTTCATTAGTCATTGATAAATATGACCCAATACTACAAAAGAAACGTCTAATACCCAACAAAGAGTTAATTGATGTGAAAACTGAGTTAGAAGAATTCTTTGAAAGTAAACAGAAATAATTACTAATTCATATAAGAATTTATTTACAACTTATTTAATGTTATAATTTGAAGGAAAAAGCAAATTCATATAATGATAAAGAAACAATTTGATAGTACAATTTAAAAACGACTTTTATTGTATAAAAATTATGTACAATATATAATTATATGTATCCTTATTCAAATTTTAAATATATGTAAATACAGTCTTATATATATATATATATATTCAAATCTTGTATCATAATAATATCTCTGGCATTATCTATAGTATCAATAGTATTCTCATAAGAGTCCAAAATGTACAACTTTTATTTTTGAACCTTCTTCTGATCTTGAAGTTTCTTTTACTTTGTCATTAATATCTTCTTCTATAAAATATAAAACATACATGCTTAAAATTATTTCACGATACTGAAACTACTGAACTATATTGCTCACTTGGTAGTGGTTGAAAGTCTTTCAGATAATCTTCATTTCCAAGACACAATGGGAGACTTTCTGCTAATTCCCGTTTAGGATCAGTTAAATGTACTTGAGTAATTGTAGAACGTTTTTGTTTATGTGATTGGCTCTATGAAGAAAAGTTAATGCAATATATTTTTATTCTTTAATATTTAATTCATATGTACACATACTTACTGTGCCAGGTACAAAAATATGTGTGACTGTATCTGAAAATTTAACCTTTGGTTTTTCATTTGTTGCTAATATTGTATCTGTGAAACTAGGAAAGGAAGAACAGGATATTGAAGTAGAAGTAGATGGTGATATGATGGGTAGAGGTGGAATGTTAGAACTTATCTTAGATTCTTTATTAATACTAGTATTTGTACTATTTTGTGTTAATACTAATTTTGAATGTCTATCAAATCTATTTTGAACACCATAAGTAGAAGAAAATTGTGAATTACCTAGTTTCATATTATTAGAAGAGGAATGCATATCAATATTATCATAGCTTCCATGGAATGAAATACAGTCAAAGTCATAATTAAATCTATACCTAGAAGACTGAATATTATATTTATGTTGATCTTGTAAAATATTAGATGCAGAATTTTGTCTCTGTAACAAATATGAATTCACATTTTTTGTTCTGATAGATGAAAATTTTTTAATTGATTCATCGATATCAGCTAATCCAGATGTACTTCTAGATAAAGGAAGATTCTTTTTTGGAAGACTTTGAAAATAATTCGTAAATGAATTTGTTAAAGAAGGTGGTGGTGGAATATTAAAATCTACTTGCTTTTTTCCCAGGAAAGGTTGCTGCAATTTCACGATAGTAGGATTATCTTCACTAGTAAAATTATTTGAACTGTTATTGCAGGAATCTTGTACTTGGTTTTCGAGAAAATTAAATGAAGTAGATGCAAGATTATTATGATTGTTATGAAAACTAGATGCTAATTTATTTGTGGCAACAGAGTCACAAAGCGTTTTGGACACAAAATCATTCATTGTAACGGATGATTTAATATTTTTTATAGGAGATAAAGCCGTGTTCGAATTAGATTTAGTGGTTACTGAATGGTCACTAAAATTATCATATGCATTTGAAGCATCTGTACCATGTGTACTAAAAGACGTAGACATAATATTATTATCTAAGTTATCTAATGAAGATTTTAATAGATTAGAAGAAACGTCTGATGTAACTGAGTCATATGTTGGATTGTTAAAAGGCGTTGACATAAAACTATTTTCTTGTACTAAATTTGTTGTTATTGTATCAGTAGATATATTATCAAGAGGAAATTGCATTTCACCACGTAGAACTTTTTTCAGTGTAGTATCTACAGAATTTTCATTAATTCTATTAGATATTCCTAATTTCCTTTCATTTAAAGAAAGACTTCCAAATGAAGTTGTCATTAAATCATCAGAAACATTATTTGAAGATTGCGAATTATTGGTAGAAGTCATTGTAGATACTAATGTTGGATTTGTATGAATTTTATATAATGGTTTGTTGAATGATGTTGATGTAAAAAAGGTATTTGGAAGTGAAAGATGCGATGAATGATGGAAGGAAGTTGTGGTAAGAGTGCTATTAGGTATATTGAAAGGTTTTGTTTCTAAATTACACTCGGTTTTTCCATCGGGTGTTATTTCAGTAAATGACGCAGGTAACAGATTTTTTTGAAGAGGATGTGGATGGAGAACTGGTAAGGGTGGAATTTGGCTGCTACTCTCTTTCTTATAATTGTGACTTTTTGTTTGTTTTATATCAGTCTGATTTTGTTTTAAAAAATTATCACTTTCATCACTATAAGATTCTTCTCCTTTATCACTTATTGAATCAGAGCACAATGAACAAGATGCTCTAGAACATGTAGAATCTGAAAATTGTCTTTTATAATATGTTTCTTGAAATAAAATAAATAGGATATTTCATTTATTCTTACGCGAACTACTGCAACTATTTGATCTACTTAATATGCGTTCAGCATTTTCTTTTGCAGCAGTTGCCATTGCTGTGTCATTTACAACTAATGCATAAAAATGTATATCCATAAAAAGATCATGATCATTTAAATCTATAGCAAGCCGAAAAGCCTTTTCAAACATATGATGCCTATAACATCTAGCATTAGTCTTATGTGTAATCCAAATATATTTTTTAAAAAGTAAATGCATGTAATACCTTAATAAATGATGAAAAAAACGTCTTGTTAAGTCTCTTATTTCATCTCCATATTCTTCTTCAATAGCTTGACTTATTGGTTTAATAGGTACGTGAAAACTACCCAATGCATTCTGTATAAGATCTATAGAGAATCAAATTATTTATATTATATGAGACAAGCTAGTTAAATTACAAAAATATATCTTACTTTCACGTTCTGTAGTCAGTGGTAATTTAAACAAATAATTTACAATTTGATTTAATGCATGCATACATGCACGAGAATGAGTATCCCAATTCATAGCTAATAATAAAGAAGTTGCTTGTTCAACTTGTGATAAAGATAAATATCTCTTGACTAACACATCACCAGTGAAAGAAATTCCTTCCAACATTTTTATAACACCAAGTGGTCCTCTATAAATTTATTATATTATCTTTTTTGTTTATATTATAAAAAGATTTTAAAACGTTATACCTTTGAAAAATTAATAACAACAAAGAATTCCCATGATTATGTAAATTAATGTAACAATTTAAATCGCTCCTTTTATTCCATTCCATGCGAAGTAATGCTGGTTGAATTCTACAGTATAAATAAATATGTTTTTAATAAAAACTACTGTTGATAATGTAAATTAAAGTTAAGATAATACCTGAAATATGAAGATAAGTCAAGAATATTAGCTTGTGCTGCTTCTTCAGTCAATGTTTGACTTTTAATACATGATAAAGCAATATCAAAATGTTGAAATTGACCTTTATCATTTCCAACAACAAATATCATTCCATCACTATGCCATGATGCCAATGTAGGTATCTTCAATTTATATATGTATATTATTTTATGCATTTGAGAAATCATTGTTTCAATACTAGACTTTACATATATTTATATGCATAACTTACAAAAGCAGCCTTTACACTAGTAGTAGTAGCTCTAGTTTGGTCGTAAATTATAACAGAACCATCTATACAACATAATAACAACAATTCTTGAGTTGGTGAAAATTTTACACAACTCGTATGTGTAGGCAATGGTACAGAAACCATTGCTATTCTTTGAAGTTTATCTTGTTGGGAAACTTCATACGTACGCCATTCTATAGTTACTTCCCCCTATAAAATTTTTAATTATATCTGTTGTAATGTCATAAAAATTACTATTCTACCCAATAACACAATCCTATTACCTTTCTTGATACTTTTTGTTCTACAGAATGAATAATATTATCATTACATGCATCAAACATTATACATAATGGATCAAATTCACTACGTATATAACAAATTAATTCTAATTTTATTCTGAAAATAAGTGCGCATTATCTATGAATTAAATTTAAAACAAATTAATATTTTTATTAAATATTAGATAGAGACAGAGAGACAAAATAAAATTAAAACGCAAGAAAGAATCTCCTTCTAAAAAGATATTTTTATACCCTATTAAACGATAAAGATGTATGTTAGCACGATCATGTTCTTTTACAGCAGGACTCCAAGGATAGACTTCATTCATAGTAGACTTCCACCAAATTAATATCTACAATGTTTAAGAATTTATTATAAATTTTTAAAAAAAGTAACTAAAATAAACTATTAATTATATAATATATAGATGGATTTTAATTTAACAAAAGATAATTTTTATAAATGTATTTACCAAATCTCCACATTTATTTGTTTGTACTTTTTTGTCCAATCTACGACCATTAGGGCCAAAGAGATCAATTGTAGACAATTTTGGTTCAAGTTTATTAATTTTATCAAAGATATGTCTTTTTGATCTTGTGAAATATACAATAGTAACTTGGTTATCATTATATGCAGAAAAAATATAATTTTTAGTAATTATCACTATAAATATAAATAAAATATTTAAAGTTTCTTGAACAAACATATAAATGTAAATCATATAAACATATATAATTACCATCTGATATATGTTCCAACAGTTTACCTATAAGATATTTGTCAAAAGTTATTTTAGAAATATCACCAGTGGTAATATTAACTTGTATTTGAATTAACAACCCATTATTTAACATCAATTGCAAAACACAGTCATCATACCACTGGCAATATATAATTGTGTTATCTCTTAATTGTTCCTATAATAGTTATTAGATATAAAACACAAATCCACTTGTATCTGCTATAAATATTTAATTAAGATTTTACCTCCAAGTATTTGATAGAATCTTTCAATTTATTTCCTTTTTTATTTGTTGGTACATATATCATACCTCGTTTCTGACAATAAGATCTTTTTGCTTCTTCATGTAAATGATCAACACGTTTATCATGATATCTAAAAAATAGTAATATAAAATTTTTTTCGTTATAATGATGAAAATGTAATGATAATATAAGTATTACATAGGAGAAATTATTTATTTGTAAAATCATTACAATATTTTAGACTGCAAATATTTTAAACTACATTTTGTACATAACTTTATTAATGTATCTCATTGTTAGTACAATTTATAATACGAATGAATTAATTTATCTCACCGAAATGCACCAAAGTCTGTACTCTTTATATTAATATTATCGTCAAAAGTCCATAAGTTTACTTCACCCAGTAATGTAAACATTATAAAACACTATTGCTCTCTAAAACCACTGAGCATTCATATCAAACTAAATATACAAAAACAAAGTTGTATTCAAAAGAGTTATGTTGTGTTACATTGAAGCCAAATATATTAATGTATTCAAATGTAGATTACAAACACAAAAAGCATAATATTATTGGAATTTGTTCTTCACCATTTTGTTACAGGATACTGCATTATCGGTATATCATTTCTATTGACAATTGAGAAGTCAATCACAAATCATGTTACATAGAAGAGGAACAGAAGGGAAAACATTAGGGTTGAAGATTTAATTAGATGGATGCAATTACGAAAATTCGCGGATCCTGTTAATCAGTTTTTTCTACAAAACTAAAAATTCTTAGATCCAACAGATGGCAGTAATTCGCTTATTTGTGTGGCGGCGCGCGTATTTTAAAACAAATTTAACAACGGTGAACGAAGAAAGAAGAAAATAAAATAGCGGAAAATATATTGTAATCTCAGTTGTTAAGAAGAAACCAAAACAAGCGGTAGCTATAAAGATTTTGTTATACATAAATTAAAAATAATAATAGCTGTTACTGTTCCTTATTAATTCTTGTAATATGTTAAGGAGTAAACTTCCATATCTGTAGACAAGGACAGTAACAATGTGCAATTAGTTCCATCTTTTGACCGCTATGTGGTGATAGTGTTTTAGCGTGAATCGATCAAATTTCCGGTTACAAAAAGGATTGATTAATAAGATTAATTTGTGACTCTTCGTGGTTTCGTCTGTTAATTAAACTTTATTTTTTCATATCACTTGAGTTTTTAGTAAATAGACGTATTGTTAAAAAGATAAACAAATGTACGAATAGATAGATGGATAGACGCATTTTTGCGCCACACGTTTCAAAAAATCTGGAAGTCGTTTTACCATTTAAGCAGCTTTTAATTCTAAGCCGATCCAGAACGATCTGATGCAGTTTGAAGAAAGAAGCATAAAAGTAAGAATTAAAACTAACAATAACTCTTAAAATTAAGATTTCAATCTTATATAAATGTAAATTTCGTATATTGTCTCGCGTCATTCGTCGATTGAGAAACCTGTTGCTTGATGATAAAACTTGAGTGTGATGAAATAACCTTCATAAGGGCGTGAATGATACGCAATACGATTTCAATAACAGCTTTTTATTATACCCGAGCTCCGAGCTTGGGAACGAATCGAATTATCGGAAAGTCCTTTTTTGACTGATAAACCGATGATCTATTCAATATATCGTGAGACTAAGCCATATGTCCAATAATGTTATTTCGATTCACATGGATATGACTATGCTGCCATATCATGTAACAATATGTATTAGAATCGCGTATATACGTAGAAATAGGAAAACGTATCTCAATATATGTATAATTTCAATCGTTTCATTTCAAAGAGTTTCGCTACGTTTTCGCGTGTTTGGAAAATTATTCACAATTGAGAGTCAGATATAATATTAAATGAAAATCCATGTTACTCTCGTTCGAACGAACGAATTAAATTTCCAGAAGAACAGGTCGCAGTTCGCGGAACGAACATGAGACAAGTTGTTAATTTTATATAGACTGGCAGTGGACAATTTTGCAAATAAAATGAGATTACCGTGAGTGAAGCGTCCTTTTAAAATTTATACAATGTTTACGCAATATAATACGCAATTTGCATATGTAATTTTGCATATACGATTTTTTACTTTATGCTACCGTAATTTTCCACTTGTGCATTAATTTTACATAATTACTTCATATGAAATCGTTCTTCTTTTTTTAATATATATCTATTTTAATGTTACCATGTACGCAATTCATTCATTCAATGTTACTTATTTTTAATATTTATGCATACTTCGTAATATTTGTTTTTAATATTTACCCTTATTTCAGGATACTTATTTCATAATATTTGTACAATTTTATCTTGAATGCGTTGAATCAAACTACGTCGAATGAAAGTGTATGGATTTGAAAGTATATGTACTTATATTTGTATCACGAATGATAAGGAAAATCGACTAATTTGTATTCATTAATAATACTCGTTGTCGATTAGCACAACAGTCGCGATGACAAATGGAAAAATCACAAGTAGAAAATTCGAGACATGTTTTAAGGATTTTAAATATTTTAGTAGGGATAAAAAGCATCTAAGTATTTTATTCGCAAACGAACAAAGTGGAAACATAATGTTTCATTACTAATTCTTAATTGGTACGATCGGATATTGGGTGGATATAAATTTAGGATTAGATCACTTAATTTTGGAACGTTCAATTAAATTTAATTTTATTTTTGGTCTCTATCACAGAAAATGCAGAATAAATTTCAATAATCAGTCACAAATACATCAGTTTTTAAATATTTAAAAAAAGGACATTTTATGGGTTGTAATTAATTTTTTGGTTGCAATTAGATTAATTCTAAAATATTACCAGTGTTTCTTACATTTATTTAAGAAATTGTATAAATAAGTCGAATATACGATCTTATGAAAATCTATTTATCATATGGTTTATTTAATTGTTGTATGTTTAATTTCTAATTATATTCATAATCATAGAAGAAGAAAAAGAATACATAAATGCAATTAGTATATATTATTGTAGTATTTAGTAATTAGTATATATTATTATAATATTTTTGGAGTTTTGGTTTTAAATTGCTTACAGCTTTCAGTAAATAAATACAAGAAACATGGCCATTCTTTTAGAATCATAACATCATCATAACATTAATAATAAATAAATCAGTAAAAAATGTATAAAATCCTCATTTTTTTTAAATATTTAAAATTTGGCAAATGTATATCGATTGTACATTTGATTGTACAAAATACAAAATTTCAGTAATCTATTTATTTATTACTTGTTGGTACTAGAGAATTGGAATTTATTTCATTTAGAAATAACTGTTACCGATATACTGATAAAATTATATTTTTATTATTCTAGATGTTATTAATAAGTGTATCTTTTTCTTATGAAAGATTAATTTTCTAATTTATTTTTAACAAGCATAACGTTTCTGCAATCAATAATTTTAGCGTATCGCGTCAATGATGATGATAATGAGTAAACTGCGGTGTGCAAGAACAATATTACACATGATAATATTAGTATAATACACACATAATACACACATTAGATAGAATAATATTAGTATAATATTTAGTAAATAGTACGTTTAGATTTCATTTTTTCAATTATGTTCATAAAAATATAAAAATACATTCGCAGTTTATGTTATTTTCTATTATAAATGGAATGGAGAAGGAACAATGAGGATCATTCTCTGCGACTGTATGATTAGGATTTCGATTTACCGAAGGAGTAATAAGCTCTTCGCACGAAACGTTTGTGTTCAATGAAACTTGTTTCGATTCCGTGTATCTAAACTTTCTAGAAGTAACTATTCTTGGTTACTTAGAATTCATCGTTTTAATTATCTACTGCTTTGTTTTGTATTGAAACAGAGTATGTTTCTATGCTAAATTAAATTCTATGCTATAATTAAATTTTTAAAATTTACAAAACTCTGTTATAGTTTCAATTCTCAAAATTAGTTGAATGTTTTACGCAAAGAAAAAAATCTAGACTAAATTATTTTACGTCTGAATTCGAAATTAAACTCTCGCTGACCATTCTAACATTCCAAAAATTTATTCTGTACAAACAAAAACTTTCAATATTTTGCATTGCAGATGGAGACATTTTTTTGGTCAATTTAAATGGTGTACGAAGTGATTTTTATTTTGCAAACAGAAAAAAACGGGAAAGAATAACTAAACAGAAGCTTTTAGTTTCGTAAATAAAGAAAAATGATCTTGACGATTGAATGTACGAAATATTTCAAAAATCTTGTTTTTGTTTTCTTTAAATCATAGTTGTTTGGAAAGAATATTTTCCATTATTTTCTTTTTCAGTAGGTGCAGAATATTTGATGAAAATTTTACATTTTCCTTGGAATGAATTATTGGTTTTGTGTTTTTAAAAGCATATTTTTCACTTTTCTAAATATCTTTTAGGATATCTATACTCGAATATACTCGACAGTTATATGTACTTTATATTTCCTTTTATTGGTATTATGAAGGGAATTAGAGCTAATAGTTTCGCAATAACAGCTCAATTATCTACAGTCATAGATTATTATTATAGCTAAATAATGTTTATTATACTTTCAAAATCAAAACTCTTTTTAATAGCTTTTCAGTAGCTCTCACTATGGAAATACAATTTTGTGATATTTTTTTCTTTTTCTAACAAATTTTACGGAGATAAACTTTAGGATACATAGGAATTACAGAACTACAGAAGCAAAAAATAGATTCTGAATCCAATCAAGTTTTCTAACATAAAACTATTCCAAATTCCAATAGTTACAGAGATGCAGAAACAATAATAAAAAGTTGGATTTATATTGAGAAGTATTTGTGTGAAAATGTTGAGCAATTTCTTCGAGAACTTTCAAGAGTTCGACAGAATGTGCAAGACGGGATTGCAATCACTCGGAAAGATTTTCAAGCTGAAAGATTAAAACACATTTCAAACTTCTCTTCTTCGAACGAACTACAAACAAAATCCTAAAATCAGAATTAAACTAAAATCTATGCGAACTTGAAGACAATTCTGCATTGCGTAAATGTTCCTCTTTCTAACAAGTTCCATCAATCTTCAAAGTTATACAACCATAAGTACAGTTGCTCACAAAAATATTTGAATACGTGTAGGAACTTTTTATCAATATATTATGCTTATTGTCATTAACACGGTAATCATGATTATTTAAAGCGAATGTAGAACTACATGTAGAAATAGGAGGTATCTGATACAAATATTTTGTAGAGATTACAAAAATATTTAAACAACCACAAATTGTTATATCAACAAGTCTTAATAGATTCAGTCTGGTCATTTATAAGACCTATTACGCACTTAAGATAGCCATTCGTGCTGCGTAATTTTCTTATTAAATATACATTCCTAATTAATATCTTGTAATTTTTACTTATGTACATTTTCAAATTGGTATTCGAATATTTTTGAGTAAAAGTCGCATGAAATTTCAAAAAGTTCACGCAACAATTTCCCTGACAATGAGATATTAGGTACTATCAATGTAATTGTCAGAGAATTCAATGTATATAGCTTTATATCATTATCACTTCCATGAATGCATAAAAGTCACGAAACACAGTACACTGTAAACAATTATTTCTACATTGTAAACAGTTAACATACACCACTGTTGTTTCTGGTGAAATATCGATCCTATCTTTGTTTTATTAAGTGTGCTAGCCACTTATAGACAGGAATGTATATGCACAGTACAAAGTTCGTTCGCTGATGAACGAGTTAAATGTCTCGCGAACTTGCGTCTCTTTCAACGAATTTTATCAATCCGCATATTCACAATGTATCAACACCCTCTATGTGAACGGTATTATGTACCACCCACAGTGTCTGCGTAGTCAGCATGCTCGACTCGGCAATGTTCGACTGCGCCACTCTGGTTTCCGCTCCCGTAAAAGAAGGACCGCGTGACGTCTCCTTCGTTCATTCACAACCACCTGCTCGACGAGGAAGCATCGAGTCTTTTGGTTTTACCTACCAGTTGCTGACCAATTCGAACGAAGAGGAACAGCTTGCAACAGCACAGCTTTCACGAGGGACAGGATGAAGAACAACGCGACTTCCGGTCTTCCGCTGTCGATCTGTGTATCCGTCTGCGCGCTAATGGTCCTGCTCTCTATCACTGACACAGCTTATGCTAAACGTGAGTAATTTTATACATTCTACTTTTTCTTTTCTTTTTTTTTTTTTTAGAAATTTTTTTATAAGGTATATTACATCGTCAATAAAGAACAGATATGAAACTTTTTTTGAAATTTTCGGGAGTTCACCGAAGATATTTATTTATATGAATGTTAATAATTTTTGAATTAAATGTTGAATGTTCTTCATCTCATTGGCATTATTACTTTCTGCTGTTGCCGATTCTAGGATTCTATAGTTTATGATTCTGTACTTGATTCTATAACTCTCTACAATGAGTAACAATAACTCCACACTTCTGTAATTCAACAATTTCGTAACTTTCTAATTTTATAATTCCATAATTCTGTAAATCAATATTTCTACAATTTTATAATTAATAGAGAGTTTTATAGAGAGTCTTCTCGATAAAATTCTAATTAATCTATTTCTATAAGAATTCATCAGATAGGTAAATTTCTAAAGATCTCAAATTTTGAAAGAAATGATTTCAATATTCTACTTTTCGAGCTTAGATATTATCAGCAATCAGATTTTATTATCTTTTACACTGATTACTGGCTTAAAACGGATTAAGCTTTATAGAATAAAATGCTCGCACACGAGCATGGTTCAGACAATCTCGTTTTTGTGATACAAGTAGTCAGCTATTATTAAAGAATAGAATTTTCTCCTTTTATAATCTTCCTTGAGAATTTGCATTATGCTGTGTCGTGGAAGGTCTGACGATTTTATGATTATAAAACGAGACACACCGCTTATTTCGGTGAATAGATTAATAGATAGAATAATTTGTTTATTAAATGAGATGTTTTGTAGTAAAAAATTCTGAGGGAAAAGTATGTGAGTTTAATGTCTTCACTGTACGATACTTATAAATTTTAAATTACTGATATTTACCACCTTGCTAATTGAAAATGTAATGTTTCTTTCATGAGAGTGGTTTTGAATGTATAATGCGAAGGAATATTAGAAGTTTAAAATTAATTTACCTGTACTTTATCTTTTTAATAATAGATTTAAAGCAACAGGATTGAAACTTTTTATATCTGCTTGACATAAAAATAGCACGTGTAACTTGGCAGAGGCATAAAATACAATTAAAATACTTAAATCAGAGACACAAATGACAGAGAAATTAAATCAAATAAAATTGAAGCTACAGTTAAGATATTACTTAAGATTTCTCAGATCAGTTAATCACTTTATAGCAAGTGCAGTAACACAATAGAAAAAGAAAAAGAAAGAATAAATTCTATCGTAAAAATGTGCAATAATACTTCAAAAGTATGGTATAACGTAAAAATTGAAGGTGAAACGTAATAACTTTAACGAAATATTACTTATTTTATTGCAACTATGGAAATTGCAGAAATCACGATTCTGCTCGAAATACTGATAGAAGTAACACTGTAATATTAAAAAACAAATGTTCTCGCAAAGTTTCAATAATATTTGAAAATCGAAATATGAGAATGAAGCATTATTTACTTTATTGAAAATGTAAAACAGATCTTGAATAATGATAAAAATATAAAAATGACAGATTCTCGAAAAATAATCATCTTCATTATCCTGATATCGACAGTAACTCCTGTTACACATACTATTACGTTTTTTCCATTCATTACGTTCTCTGCTAATTTTCATTCTCATATTTCCTGTTAATTTCCCACCTTTCTACCGATAGGTCACACACATCATAATTAAAGCTTGGCCAACATAATTCAATTTGTCCCGGTCGAGGCTTAATGAAAATCTCCCTACGAGCCAATGTTTCGTATCGTTGCGCGAGACGTAATCTTGACGCGACCGAGACCGTGTGTTTAACGAGCAGCAACTGACGAAGAAAGCAGGAAAAATAATCGTTTTATCATTCTGTAAAAGAACCGAAAGGTAAAAACGCGGCGAGGAGACCTAGTTGACTATTTTGTTGATTGAGAAAGTAAAGTGATTAGAACAAATGAAACATCATACAGAGAGACAGCTTGTATTCGGATTATGGCTGATCGTAAATTCATATGAGAACAACAAGTAATAATAACTCAGACGAATCACTTTTATTAGCAGGAAAATTCTGTTTTTTTTTTTTTTTTTTCAAAAAACGCCGTCTTTCTCTCCACGTATTAATAGTAGAAACAATAGCAATAGTGCTTTCCACTCGAAATTCATTTTGGTGCCAAGCTTGTCATTGATATGGACTCAAGATTACTAAAGAGTAATTTCATCACTATGTTTTGTGATCGAGAAGTTCTACAATAGTTCGTCTGAATCAAACACATTTATATTGACCTATTGGTTTCTTACACGCAATTTTCAAATTTTGAAACAGAACAGAAAGAACTAAGCTTAGAAATTTTTAATGCATAACAGACGTTGATACTTAGAGCGATAAACTAGCAAATATCTCGATTATATATAAACTAACAGGTCTCGAGTTTTTATAAGAAATAATTTTGTAATTGTTTTTTAATAAATAAACATGCACATGACTTTCACTTTACTTTATTATATTTATTATCACGTGATTATTCGAACTATTCAGCTCTCTCTATGTTGCATCTGTTCATAGTCATAGTTCATAGTTTCAACCTGATGACTGACTACACAGTTATAGCTATCGGTTAACTCACAGTGCACCAGCGCGCTTTGTCTGAATTTAGTTCGCATCGAGCAAGAGTCCTCTGGTATCTTTTATGTTCCGACATAGCAACACTACTCAAGTCGTCCAATTGTTATATTTAAACTTATTAAAGTTTATAGTTCGATAGTTAACTAAACCAATTAGTCAAGTGAATCTCTGGCGATCAGCCAGCAGTCTCTCTAGTTCTCACAATTAACCGAATAATCTTCTTACACCGAGGGATCTGAGCCGGGATCGCTGCGCTCTCGCCCCAATGGAGGAAATATGAATGTAGGCGCGTCGCAATTCCAAACAGGGATCATTTGATATTCGCTCTTTGTAGCTGGGAACTTTATTTAAGGGGAACTTTATTCTACGCCGCGGGAAAAACTGCAGCGTGCTCTATGTAAGAGCACTCGAATGAATAATTCCCGGCCGTTTCGTGCAACCTGAACTTAGATTAGTTTCATCGTGACGGCAAACGAAGATTATCCGCCCGCGATGTAATCCGAATGTTTGATTCTGATTGAACGATTGGAGGGATATTGGAAGGAAAATGTATGTAAATTTCTGATAAAAGGGGAGAGAATCGAAGCTGCGACTGTAAATAGTCAATTGTAGATCGTTCGATGTTTCTGGAAGATGTTCATGGTGTTTCAAACATGATTTCTATTAATAATGAATAATAGCGGATAATAATGGATTTTTGTGCACCTTTGTTTGTGAAATTTAAGGATGTAGAAACAATATTATAGGTAAAATTAGGTAAAATAATACGTTTTATTCTTTATTTTTTTCTGTGCTTTTGAAAGCGCAAAATGACACAGTCTATAGAGAAAGCAGAAATATTCGAAGTCGAGTATCTGTCACTCGATAAGTGAGGCAAACCTTTATTTAGACTCGCAAGTTTTTTCAGTTACATTTATAAAAATTTATAAAAATCTACAGTCTAGATTATGACATTTAGCGTGTATTAAACAAATTTCTATTTAAGTTCCGTCTTCTTAAATTACAATTTGTAGAATTGCAAAATTAAAACATTAGAAGGTATTGGTCTAATTTCTAAATAACGTAAAGAACATTATCAGCGAATTTCCTTCATTTTTGCCGATATTGGGAAGAAACTTTCATTTGATGCAACGAAAATACAATCGCTTGATTTGACCTTAACGTTCGGATTGCCCAATTAAATTATATGCGACGTGATAAGTCGACTGCAGATAGCGGGTTCGTGCGAGAGGATTGCGAAACAAATTGCAGTGGAAACTCATTTTTCTTGAAAATTTCTCCTTGATTTTTTGCTTTTTTTTTTTTTAATGTCTGAAAACATTTAAAACTGTTACTGAAATTATTCAAGAATAATGAAAGTTTCACTTCTGTCACAGTTTCGCGCGTGTAGCGCAAAAATCCTCGAGTGAACATTATTAGTATCTTGTGTTAAGTTTTATGTACCTACAAGAAACTTTAAAACGCAAAAGCAGAATACTCGTCATATTAAAAATATGCATCATATATAAAATATGGAAAATATAATGCTTTTCAAAATGTTTGTTTTTTACGTGAAATAATTTTCTAGTGAGGTTCTACTTTTCATGTTCTCAAAAATATGAAATTACACGAAAATCTGTACTCTTTTTTATTAAACTTCTTTTCGAGTTCATGCAATTCTATTGCAACAGATTTACAAAAGCTTCACTGCAAAAATTGTCGTCTAATTCAGTGAATCAGTTGCAGAAATGATTTGAGAACGTTCAGTCTTTACCATAATCTTTCGTAAAAGAAAACTTGTGCGAATGTCTATTCATAATCTTAAAATTCATCACTTTTATGCATCTATATAATTTTAAAATGCAGAACTGCACAGGATGCGACAAAGTTTGTAAAATATCAAAGGTGTAACGCTTTCTGCAATATTTGCTACGTAAAATAATTTTCTACCGAGAGTCTACGGTTACAATGTTACAATTCCATTACGACAGGATCGACAAACTGATTTATGGAAGCTACACTGAATTCATCATGCTTGAAATCAGGAAGTGTTTAATCCTGTTGCGATCTTTTAATCCACTCACAACCGATTTACATTTTTCTAACGTTAAAAATTATCTCAGGTTATAAAAAATACGAAAGAATTCTTACTTATATGTATAATTCGTCAGTTAAACTTTATGTTAAATATTTTTTTAAAATATTATGAATCCTTTTTGTTTGCTAAACCAAGTGTAAGATCGTAATATAAAAATTTGTAGATTGTAGTAATAATCAAAGTTCGACCATTGACTCTTTTTGGTGACTTTCGATTCAATAATATTTTTTTAATAGTAACAAACATCTTTTGTTTGAAGAATGTAAAAGAAAATTTATTGATACACATATATGTTTAAATTCTTTTTAAGGCTTACATTTCGCTTACTGAAATCAGATTAAAATATAAACATACACGGTTAATTTGTCACAATTTTTTTGCATAACACGAAAAGTTCAGTATTAAACTTTTACGTATTCATATTTTCCTTCGGCTAGAACGTTACGACTCCGTTGCGACAGAACCATGAACAAATTGATTTATAAGAATTGCATTAGTTCCATCATTGGTTACAGAAATTAAATCAAAGTTATATTTAATTTATTAGAGCTTGCTTGCTTCGCAAATATTATTAAAAATTCTACAATTCTTTTATTCAACTATAATGTTGCTACAGAATCATCAGAATTTATAAAAATCACTGGAAAACCAGAGAATCGCGGAAATTATTTAAAAGCAACGAAATTTATATTTTATCAGTTGACAGTCTTGCGTCAATAGTGTAAACAAATTTTAGCAAATGTTATTAAATTCCCTTTAGTATACTACACATTACAATTCGACAGAATCACGATAATTTCGAGAGTAAATTGACTTGTGAAAGCTACAGTACAGTTACACTTGCGTCTTTAGCGAATTTTCCCTCGAAATATGTAATATATAATTCCCTTTTGACTTTTTCTTTTCAATTACTCAGTTTTTTAATCCAGTACTAATATCATGACATAATGAAGACGAATTCAACAATATCGCTGAATTATTCACTAATTAGTCAATATCATGATAATGAAGACGAATTCAACGATATTTTTGATTCTTCATTCGTCGTCTCATAAATCGTGCTAGCTTCAGTTTGAACTTACGTAAAAATTGACGCGAGAGCGAATGGTGCAGTTTCACATTATGGTGTTCGCGCGGTAATTGGATTTGTTTATATTTGTTGATACTTCCTGTTGCTAATTAATCGTGGATTCCCTTCGATCAACTCAGTTCTCCGTTTTAAGTGAATCGCAGCTAATGATCACTTTGATCGACGTGATGCGAAACGGACGCAGGGAAACTCGATATTTCTCGTTTCACCGTGAATAAAACGACTCCTTTTTTACCAAAACGTTCGCCTCCTTGGGATAATTATGGCGGATAATTATGTCGCGATTAAATAAGAATCACGTAGACGAAGCGCCGAGTTTATAAATAGATTGACAAATACATTTTTACGCAAAACTATATTTCTGAGGATGTAATTAAAAGGGCAGGATCTTAGGTGGAAGATCCTTGTATTATGTACTTTGTATATTTTGTATCTTGCAAGCAAAAATTCGCAGTATACTTATAAAAAAAGAATGTAGGAAATATATAAGGAAATTTGATCACTTTTGTTGAAGAGTACTTGCTTGCTGTATCATAGTTTGTTGAAAAACTTGTGATTTTTAATGATAGAATAAGTCAGAGTTGCTTGCGAACTTTAAAGCGATCGAATATTGCTAGTTTCTTGTTCTTGATTATGCTTCCTTCTTTTTCTTTCCTTTGTCTTTTAGAAACTTGCGGCAAAGTTATCATCCTTGGTCGAGATAATAAAGAACGTTTCGCTAAATGGATTTTTAGATTTTCACTTTGCGTAAAATGGCAACGTGAGAAATTAAAATTTAATGAGATTTTTTTAGTCGTTCCGTTTGTGAGTATTTTTTAAATACATTAACAAGGGAAAAGAGGGAGAGAGAGAGGCTACACATTGCTGGCAAAAAAAAAAAAAAAAAATTTGCTGCATCTTGAAAACCTAAGTTAAATAGTTAAATAATTAACATAAACCTATTTATTTTTTAACTAAATTTTAATCAACTTTTTCTCATAATAATTCAAAAAACATTTGTGCAATTTTTTCTGTTTTTTAATAAATAAAATAAATTAAATAACTTACATTTCTATCAAGTGTAAACTTTGATTTATTATTTTAATAGAACAAGAAAAGAGAGAGAGAGAGAAAGAGAGAGAATTGCATTTTAACAAAATCTTTGCTTTAGAAATTTTGCATTTTTACCTCGCGCGAGAATTTCGTTTCGCGCGCATTTGAAAATTTTGTTTAATTAAACATCAGAAAGTGATAAGTGATCATCGTTACTTTTTTAACGGCGTTGTCGGATCGATTGCACGAATTCATGGTAAATTGTTTTTTTGGTATGCGGAACGTGATATGCAGAATTAAACGATCGATTCTCCATTATTGTACAAAATCCCCCTGGGGTTGTTACGGGTTTTTGCTCTAACGACATAACTACTAGATCGCTCATTATTCTCTTTTAATAGCAAGACCGTCTGAATTGTCATTTTCAAAGTTTCTTTTACTATTGTGTAGGTGTAATTAGCGTAATATTAAAATATGATGACATATGTAGATGAAGTGAATGATAACAATTTTCGATAACATATATTTTAATGTAAACTTTTCATTTATAAACAATTACAGATATTAAGTTTTTGTTAAATAAATATTAATAAATGTTAGTTATAAATATAATTGTAACAATTAACTACAAACATTCATTTGTTCTAATTAACTGAAAATCCGTCGTAAAATTGCACAATCGAGGCGAACACAGCCATTTTAATATCTTAAAACAAAAAAAAAAAAAAAAAGAAAAAAAAAAAAGAATGAACTCGCGTCACTTTAAAAGTAAATGGTTCATGCATATATTTGTGTATGACATATATAGGGTGTTTCGCCTGATTTTGATTTACGTCGTTATTATTATTCGCAGTAGAAAATGTTTTAGAAAGAAAATTGAATGGTTTCGAGAGAGGCATACTTTCATAGATTTCTCGCATAAAAATTACGTGAATGTTAATTTCGCTTTCTTAAAAATCGAATTGTGTATTTTTTAATACATCAATCGACGCAGCTTGATATTCTGTATAAAAAAAAAGAGAGATATTGATTCATATATGTGTTGAAAAATTATTGATTTAGGAAAGATATTATATTTATACGTATTATAATTTTAATTTTAATTTGAAATGTCACGTGAAAGACAAAAAAAAAAAAGGGAATCTGCACATCACTTTGAACGTTTGAATGTTTATGTAAATATGTGTATATAAAATACGATAATGTAATAACAAATAGGTAAATCAAGGTTTAAATAGATACTTCCAAATTCACATAACATCGTAGAAAGTTAGAACGCGATACCATAAAATTTCTAAACAGATTAACAGGGAGTTGAATCGGTTGTTAAGTTATAAATAATATAAAATACGCAACGTTTATTTGTTTCACAAAGGTATATTGTAGAAAATGAGTACGATATTGTAAATCGAGTTGATTCATGCTTTATTCATACGATTGTTTGAAAATTATAAAATTAATAAACATATAGGAGGATATATACGATACGAGTGGGAGCAGATAAATTGTTTTATCATGAAGATATGTAAATTACATGGTGATATCAATTTGGAACTTTTATTCCCTATAGTATTCCCTTATTCCCTATAGTACAAATCAATTGTTAAATCTAAAAATTGTTTATTTAATTGCCGATGAATTTCAAATAGATTTTTTCAGAATAAATCAATGGAAAATGAATATAGTTTAAGACTTTAAATTTTACTTATTTATTTAGTACTAACAGAACAAAGTTTTTTTAACAGTTTTTTAACAGTTTCACATTTTTACGATACTTTTTTTCATCGCACAATGAGTTACATGTAATTTCGCACAATTGTCATAAAATGTTTTCCCATTTTGCTTTAGACAGTACTACAATCCGTTCGCAAATTCAATTTCTAAAACTTTTCTAAAAGTTTCTTTCGAAGTTCCGCTCAAACATCATTTCACTTTCGGACAGTAACAAACCTAACGCAAGTTTCTCTTTTTTATTAACTGTCTTTTTAAAAGAAACGTCTTTCATATAGAAGTCTTCTCTTTCATCTTGTAGAATAAGAATCTGCAAAAAAAAAAAAAAGAAGAGAAAAAAACTATGCATTTTATAATGTGCATTGAGAAAAGAAAGTTTCTAAACACCTAACTAGCAAGAAATAAATATAAAAAATTAATATTTTCCCGCCTCGAAAATCCCGCCTGAAATTTTCGTGTCTGATATTTTTCAATGCGTAGTTTTTCAGGTACTTTTATATTTTTTATATTTATTTGTACTTGAAATTTCCAGATGAACACCCGATATATAGCTGAAACGTTGAAAATTGAAATTGACTTGTGACAGTTGCGCATACTGTGAGCGCGTATTGTGTCCATACCGTACAGCATTTTATTTATTTAACTTTTTGCTTAATATTTTACAAATACGTGAAAGACGTTGCTGTTGTTGTAGCTGTTGTTATATCGTTCGATTCTGCGATTAAATTCTATCGAACTGGAATTTATCGTATTGAAGTTTATGTGTATTTTACAAAAGCAATGGATGAAGTTCTGCAGCGATTTGTTTAGCCTGATCGTTTTAAATTGCCGGTAAAAGTGTATTAAAAAGTTGCAGAAATAAAATTTGCGCGGTGTCGAGGGAGATAGGTATATGTGTAATACGCTAACTAGTTTCTTGCAACTTTTTGTATTATTACCGAGAGACGTGAAAGTTGGTTTAGTTACTTAACATTAGAACTACCAAACTGGTCAAACTGATCAATTTATAATATTCTTATGGAAATTTTATATATTACATCGGCAAATGTAATAATAGATAATATAATATTATTAAATGACAAACATAAAAATAATTAAAGTGTGCAAATATAACTTTTGCTTTTATGGTTATTTTTGTACTTAAGTCCTACATAATTGTTTACCTTTATAATAGTTAAGCAGATCTAAATATAATTGTTATTATGATTATTAACGTGAGCCGGTGATAAACATGTTATATATTTCAAACGTTCAAAGTACCTGTTTGTATTATAAATAGAAATAATATTGCAATAATAAACCTGACTAAATTAGTTTCGAATAAATTAAATTATACTTTACATTACTCTGAATAACGGGACTTTTAATGAAGTAATTGCACTTCTAAAGAAACAAAAAATCATTAACGAGGAAGAATGTATTTTAGTTATATTAGTATTTAGTTATATTTCCATTAGAGTTTGCAAACGAGTTTCAGCAGATATTTTGTTAAAGGTAGCATTTTACGTTTTACGAAGAATGCGCAGAATTAGGAATTAATTGTTAACAATTTTATTGGCTTCGTATCATCTTTTATTCAATCGTTAACCAACTAATTGTGATTATAATTAATATCACATGTGATACCACAATATTTGGATTGAATTAAATTATATACATGATTGAATTAAATTAAATCGTAGTGATTAACTCGTAAATTCAAGTTCGAAACTTTGTCTATCATTAATTCTGGATGTATAACTTGAAAAAGAATTATGCATTTAAGAACTATCCTTATTACCAGACTGGGGATTTTTATATATGTATGTAGAGTCACATTTTTATAAATATAATTTATAGAAAATGAAAAATTTTTTTAAAAAATTCTTTCGATTATTACATAGAATATTGCATTCCATGTTATGTGCATTCTGTGCATTCTTGCACCGTTAGTTTTCTCACAAGTGCACAGTTTACTTATCACGCAAAATGAATAGCACAAGTGAAAAGCAAATGTTCGCGAAATCGAGACATTTTGTGTTTTTTTCTTTAAATATCAAATACAGGAATATTTGATGGAAATTGTAGAAAAAATTCTACCTCCTTACGCGAGATCCCATTTATTACCTTTAATCGTCTTACTGCGGTTCCATTCAATCTAAATCTTATTACCCACGATAATTCGATGTATGGAAAATATGATGTAAGGATTTTACTTATCAAGAACTCGGAAGTATCTTGTGCCACTTCTATAACGGCTTATAATATGATGTATCGGCTTATAATACATATCCATGTACTGTAATCTAGTCTTTTACCGCACTCGTACGCTTTGGCAAGTATCAATGTCTGATTAACTATGAGTTGCGAAGGAACTATTTTTTGAATTTTCGAATTTTTCTTCCATATAAAATATTTGTAAGTAAATATCATAAATATTATGGTAGTGAATATTATGTAAACCTTTTAGTATTTTGTATGGTTAATTCATTAAAACTGAATTAATAGAATATTTTTATTTAATTTTTATTTATTTATAACAAATTCAAAAAAATTGCAAGGATGCAACGTGATGTGCAAAAATATGCAAAATGTAATAAGCATTTATTATAATATTTGACAAATGAAAAAAGAGTTACCATTTGTCATTTTAATTTTATTTTATTTTAGCTAAATTCATAAACGTAATAAAAATTCATAATATGACGACTATACTAGATAATATTTTGCAAGTTAGTGTAAAAATTAATTAGTAGTAATTTGTTGCAGTGTTTAATGGATGAAACAAATTTCTATTTCTATTCTATTTTTAACGAAATTTATAAGGCAAAAATTTGTAAACACAAAAATTAATTAAACTAAATAACAAATAGTCTGTATTATATTAAGTAATCTTTCAAAAGATTGCTCTCTGCAAAGATTGATTAGCAGTAGAAATAAATATTTAGAAGATGAAATAAATTTCTATTTAGATCCCGTTATCTCTAGCTGGATAAACTTTAATAAAAATATAAAAGCGCATAAAGATTAAACAATGTTTTACGAGTTAGCACGAAGATTGATTAGTAAGGAGAAGCTTCTATAAAAGTTTCCACGAAATATGAGTATCGAGTGGTATTTCACTCTAATGAGTTAATTTTACTTCGCTTATTCACGTAAAGCACATTACGTAACGCGATTTTTACAAATGAAAAATTCGTCGTTAATTAATTACATGCCCCGGTAATTTTAGGTAGATAACTCTTTGGAACGATCGATCAGGCACATCATTTCGTAACGCTTCAATAAAAAATGAAAGGATAAATAGTTTAAAATTTTTAAAGGACACGAACGAGATTGCAATTGGATAATTTCAGTCGATTGAATGACAACTTAAAATTTGTTAAATTTCCTACTTTTAAGTTTCTTAAACGTCTCTTGGTTCGTTCTTTTTTCTTTGACACAATATCGTTCCCCGTACGTTTCATAAATTACTCTGCGTGTTTCGGTAATGGCTTCTTCTCCATAAAAGTAACGCAACATGCAGTGACGTTACTTTTTTTCACCTTGTTATAAATAAACGGCGGATTTTTATGCAGATTAGCATTTCGATGGCTAGAAGATTGTTTCACATATCGGTGGTCCAATTTTTCGACCACTTTCCAGTGATGAAGATCTTGCACTTTGAAATTTTCTATAAATGCATACAAACCAGCATTCTGGTGATAAAACACGAAATTGCGAAATATTGTACATCGTGCGGACCTGCACCAGTCGTATTTCTTCCTGTCAAAACAGAAACGCAATAAATGAACATCATTGCAAAGTCATAAATCCCGCCAACTTATTTATACAGTTTCGAAGTTTAGCGCAAAAGTTTCGAAACAAATATCATGCTCGTTTCAAAATTGAAAGAAATTAAACAGCATTTTATAATATATTTATAATAGCCCGGTATTTTCAAATCGAGCAAACAAAAAGATTAAAACATTAGTGATATCTGTTTCCAAACTGAAAGAAAGCAAATAATCCTTTATTATGACGAAGAATAAAAATTTGCCATGTGTGATATACGTTACGAATAGACTGCGGATTTTTATGCATTTTTCAACAAACGTGGCTGAGGAAATGTAATTTAAATTAAAATTTATTTTATCCAGTACGTGTCACATTAAACTTACCCTACCCTTTAGGTATTTCGTATACATTATTTTATTTAAAACTATCCAAATAATATTCTATTTCCTTTACATATTATGCACGTATATTTTTTTTTAATTATTATTACGTGAATTTTTATTTATTTCCACGTCTTTCAACTGAATGTGCAAAAATGTGTGTCATTTAACTTTAAGCTACATGCTATATTTTTATAAGTAAGCTGTATTTTTTAATAAAATTATAAAAATATAGAGACGTTTCGTTTGTTGGTGTGAAGAAGCTGTCTTTCTCATTACTTCGTGAAACTTGTTATCGCCTGAACGTCTGATTCATTAACAAACCGCTTTTGTTACTAGTTCTTGGGAAACTAACGTGAAACCATTGTAATCAGCTACGTACTGTACGTGCACTACGATTCAACTTCATCCTTCATTATCCTTTGCCTTTAATTGGGTGAACATTACGTCTCTTCGTAATTAGGGTCGTAAGAACCGATTCAATTTTTCCAGTGATCGGGATTATCAGTGGGATCGTATCGACTGTTACGTAATTCTAATAAAACTATTTGTAAAGAAATCGACATTTGGCTTCATTTCAAAGCATGAAGCCTCTACTTTGACCACGTTCGTTCTTTTTCTCTTTCTAAAGATGTTTCTACATCAACAGGTGGAGAAGATTTTACTTTTGTTCTTGAAAGTAATAAAAATTCAAACGTTTCTAAATTCACTGAAGCTCTCGAAGATCGATGTCTTCCTTTTACAACAGATTTGTTAATAATTACTTTGCGGTTTCTTTTCGACCGTTTTATCGAATTAGGATTAAACGATCAAAATTCGAAGAGTCCTAATTCATTTCGCCGTGGGTAAAATATTAAGTTTTACTTCATTTTTAATAATAAAAATATATAATGAAAAAATGGTACGAAATATTGCATTTTCTGTACTGAACACAGAAAGCAATATATTTGGATATTTTGTACGTTTCATATTATGTGCAATTTTATGAATATATAAAAATTCGTAATCCAAATTTGATAACAAATTTGAATAATGTAATTTCAATGAAAGAACTGATAAATAAATTGACGTTTAATCGATTGTATTTAATGTGGATGTGGAATATCGAGTTTCTGTGATAAAGTGAGGTTTTTTGACGAATTTCTTAATCTACAAAAATTAATTAATGTAATTTCCATAAAACCACTCATAAAGAAATCGACGTTTAATCGATACGTTTGAGTATAAAATATCAACCTTCAATGACAAATTGCACTTTATTCTTTCGTAATTTTGCAAATCTATAGGAATTATTAATATGACAAATGTGATTTTAGTAAAACCGCTCATAAATAAATTGAGATTTGAATGATGCATTTACCAAGATTTGAATGATTTACGTACCAAATCTCTGTGATAAAATTAAATTGATGCACTTCATTCTTCATGAATGTCCATAAAAATAATGTGCTTGAACGACGTAATTTCAATTGAAGCATTCGTAAATAAATCAGGATTCAGTTGGTAGATTTATTTAAATGTAAAATATCAGGTTTCTGCGACAAAATGCAAAGTGATTCATTTTTTACGAATCTCTTAATTTACAAAGATTACCAATGTATTTAAATAATATAATTCCAGTGGAACCGTCCACCTCGACTATCAATCGATACATTTAAGCATGGAATATCGAGTTTTCAGTGACGAAGTTAAGCTGATAGACTTTTTACGGCTTTCGTAATGTAACAAGAGTTATTAATGCATTTGAGTTGTAAATGTATTAAATGTGCAGAATGTAAATTATTGGAAGAAACAATTTGATTTTTAACTAAAGATTCTTCAAGATTTTCTTCTTTTAGATACGTACGAAAATTTGAAAATTAAAAATTCGGAGAATCATTCTCTTCTCGAGCAATCATTATTATTAAATGATCCAAAAACGTAACTTCCCAAACAAAATCGATAAATACATCACAAGTTTATCTAAAAATGACACCGAATTAATTTTTACAAGTACTTGTAAATAAATCGAGTTTCAATCGAGTTTAATATCAAGTTTCCGCGACAAATTTAACCCGATGAGTTTCCACGAATTTCTGAATTTATAAAAATGATTAATGTACGATTCTGTACAATGTAATTAACATCTACATCTACAGTAAAATATTTAAATATTTAATACGAGTGGATGTTACATCGTATAAATAATAATTTGTGTGATAAAACATTATTCGATAGGATCGATGAGCTGTCGTTAATATATTAATAGAATGAAATATGTATATAATAGGAAAATTGTAATAATTCAGAGTCTGTTATACGACGGCTTCAAAAACAAGTGATGTATATCGATAATACCCGCGCGTTGGGTTTATTGCCAAGTTCTATTCCGTCGAAACGCTATTATTTATATTAAATATATAAATATCTTTTTGCGGATTAAATTTGTAATTCGCAAGCAATTAATTAAAAGGTTAATTTAAATATTTTTATAGATAGAAACCAAATCTGACTTACGTCGATTTGAACTCAAATCATGTAAGATTTTAAAAGTCGAACAGACTTAAAATTATTAAACTTCTACATTTAAAATTTATCTTAATTCAACATCGAGGTCGCAATCATTTTTTTCTATAAGATCTATGAAAAAAATATAACGCTGTTATCCCTAAGGTAATTTAATCGAGTAATAATAAATTAAAAATCAAAATATTTTCTTAAATTAAAGTTTTTATTAATTAAAATTTATTAAATTTAATAATTCTCTCAATTAAATATTAAATTAAATTTTATATTAATTATAAAATTAAATTAATATAAAATTCTATAGGGTCTTGTCGTCCCATAAAAAAATTTTAACATTTTTATTAAAATTTTAAATTCATAAAATAAATATGAGACATTTGAAAAGTACGAAACACGTAGACACGTATAATAAGATAAAGTATAAATTGAATTAAATAAAATCCCAAGTGTAATAATTAACGCGAATTTTGTCTTATTTACATTTATAGGTAGATGATGGATTGTTCTTCTTGACAATTACTACGAGGAAAAAGATCAATTATTATTAATTATTTTTTTATATTAATATAAAACATAATAAATAAATTTTTTCTTTCTACTAAGATACAAGTATAATAGATCTTTTCTTAATTACGTAATTGCTACGAAAAAAATTAATCAATAAGTATAATTCTTTTTTTAATATAAACATAACTGATTTTTGTGAAATAATAGATACGAAGAAGATTAATTATCTATAAACTAATTTTCTGTTTTAATATAAAAGGGATCAGTAAATGTATACAAAAATGAACGAAACTAACGTTAAAAATTCTTATTTTCCATCGCTTAAAGTTCAAAGCGGTCTTAAATCCGTAAAGTACTTGTAAATATATCAAAGAATCAACCATTCAAGAAACAAAGAAAAGATTAAATCGTTCAACAGAATAATTTTCTATATACCTGAATCAGCAAGAAAAATCACCTACTGTTTCGAGGAAACTAAACGATTTGGAATGAGCTGTGCAGTAGACGTAGAAAGTGTACTTGACCTGTTATATAACTTCCTGAAAAAGATCCATCTTGTCTCATTTAAAACTCGATTGCGAGTTCGTTTCTTTCAAAGATGTCCTTTACATTATTTTAAAAAGGACAAGTAAAGGTAACTTTTTCTCTCGGGAGAAGTTTGCAAATTAGATTGAAAAAATTGCTTCTTAATTAAATCCACCATGATCTTAAAGATCGAATCGATCCTCTCTCGATCCCTTAAAGTTCTTTTTCTTCAGGTAAGGTTATTCTTTTTCACTATGTAGTCACCAGAGTTTAATATGTCGGCATCGAGCACTTCCTACGTCCACTGTAAAAACAAAATGCAAGAAACAACCAACGATTATTTACTCAAGTGGTCGAGTATCAATCTCGAACAGCAAGGCAATCTCGCGATGAAGCAGAAGAAGAGATCGTTCCTACGAACTTCCAAGAAGTTGGAAAATTCTGGTGAAATCGGGGAAACAATAAAATCCACTCTCGTTGTGCAATGAACGAAAACAATTGTTAGACGTCTATTATTAGACGAGTACATACTTCGCGCCCGCGTTGCGTGTTCGTTACTATCGTTATTCAGAAACGCGATACTGTTCACGCTGATTATGAGCACGTTCGATCGTCAGATTAATGAACAGTCGCGTTGCGTTTTATGAATGACCTTGCGGTTGTGTAAGACGAGTTTTTTAATGTATGAATCTCACTTGTTGCTTATATGAAAGTAGAACCTTTGATATTTAAATTGACAGGGGGACAAATATAATAGAACAGTCGCTTCTTTTAATATTAAACTGCCTGTTTAAGAGTTGCTACGTATATTTTAAATGTCGAATCAATTAACTTTTTTAAGGACTTGTAAATATTCTGCTGCATATATCTAAAAATATAATAATATAATAATAATATTAATATATTATATAATAATATTATATATTATATAATAATATAATAATAATATAATAATAATATATTATAATTAAATAATATTAAATATTTAATTATATAATAATAATATATTATATAATAATATAATAATAATATAATATATATCTAAAAATATAATAATAATATAATATATATCTAAAAATATAATAATAATATAATAATATAAAAATATCCAAAGTAGAGTATGTATTATAAAATATTTACCATATGAGACTTAAATTCCTATTTAAGTTTCTTTAGTTATTTAGTCATTTCATTAGCTATATTTATAGAAATATAATAAAATACAATAAAATCCGTAGTCTACTAATTACTAACTTTTTGTTTTTAGGATCAAATTCTGATTCTTTTATCTTATCCTCTTGTATATTCGTTATTTTAACGATGCAAACAATTATCTTAGGGCAAGGTTATTTCATTTCAAAAAGAATTTCATCATTTCTTAGTTACTTATCTTCAAGTTTTCAAGATCATCGCATTTTTAATTCTGACGGTACATTTTTCTTTCCATATTGTTGCAGTCGAAAAGGAAACGATTCAAACATGTATGATGATTATCCATCTTTGGACGAGATATCATTTCAATACTTCTTGTAAAATAAACGTACGAAACAGAAAACAGAAAACAGAAAATTTTCGGTTAATCATTTTTCTAGAAATTAGCATGATTTGTTTTGCATCCATCGCTATTTAAGAACTCGAAAAAAAAGAACAATTTTATTGAAGAAAATGATAAACCGCAATATTTGTCGTTTGAAACTAAATAACATTGTCCCGGCATACTGTTCGGTATCGGCAAAAATAACAAGCGAGATAAAAGAAACCTCCTTTATGTTCTATAATTCAAAATACGGAACAACAGACAATACCATGTTGCAATTTTTACAAAAATTAATTAAAACTTTTTAGCGTAAATTATTTTCTTCGTTTTTCGGGACCATTTTGTTTACCTTTCTTGCATCTGATAGAATCCAAAGCACGAATTAATACACTCTTTTCTCTGTTTCTCTTACATTTTCCAAGACTATCGTGCTTCCACTACTAAACTAAAATTCAATTTGGTTCATTCGTATAATTGTATAATTTAGTATTAATTATTCGCTCTCTGTTTCCCATATTTAATTTAGTTTGGTGCTTTTGTGAATACTGTTAACTTATTTCACTTATTTTTTCGTTCTGTTCCCTGCGATTTGAATAAGAGTTCTCTGCAATTTGTATCAAAAGATTTTCATTGTGCATAAACAAATAAAATGAAGTTTCGCCTCAGTTTTTACAAAATAATTGGTTTCTTTATGAAAATTACTTTCTTTGTACAGCATACAACATTTAACATTTGGTTAAATTATTTTTGACAAGGAAATTCGTTCTGAAATTGCTTCTCGATTAATATATCGCTGAGCCATTACTAACCACGGCAAATTTAAAGTTAAATTAAATTAAAATTAAAATTTGGAAATTATTAATTCAATTAAATCTTATTACCAATTTCTGTTGCAGTGAACGTGATATACAAAATAAAATCAAGTCGAATCAGATCAAACCATAAATTAATATAGTACCACGATCCAATGATAATATCCTCTATGAAATTTCGTAAAATTGACGTTTCTTCTTGAATTATTGAAAGTTTTGTCCTATCCTGGTAAACAAGCGTGCATGATATCTCGGTATCTCGTTGCGTTGTGCGATCGATATCACGCCGCAAGATATCTCGTCTGTAATTGCGAAGATTATATATATTGTACAAAAGTGACCAAGTTTTAAACTACCATAATTTCATAGAAATTTCATAAAATTCAGTTGGTCTCATTTCGAAGTATGAAGCCTCCACTTCGGTTAGCCTGGGTTAATTTCTTTCAAAGATGTTTTTATATCAGCAAGGATACTTTTCTTCCCGAGAATTGTCAAAATTCAATTTCATCTTCAAATTGTCGAGATTCAAATTGATCTTTTAATTTAAAAGAAATTTTTTCAATAATCTACTCTATGGTAAGATAGAAGATCGAAGACTTCTACGATCTAATGTGTTTCTACTTTAAAAGAATCTTTAATTCTTCAAGCTTGATTCTTCGAATATTTCGCACATTATGCGCATGAAACGTTGCATCGTTTCGGTATATGAAATCGTTCGGAAATGAAAAAGAAAAAAAATTGGATAAAGTGCAAGATATTCATGGTTACGTCGCGCTTTAAAGAGAGAGGCATACTCGCAGATTTCCATCGAGACGAATCGGCTTTTATTAAATCACTCGATCCCCAGGAATAATGTCGTTTCTACCTACAACGAGGTCGCCGATTCGCTCCTCCTTCGCTGTCGCTTTTCAAGAACGATCTTCCATCTTCGATTTCCATCTTAACTGCGGTTGACACTGCGACTCCCGCGAGGCAAAGATCACTTTGAAAATTCAGCGGGCGTCGCGCAAATACTCTGCATTGTTATTCCAAACAATATTATCGTTTCGACAGTTTCCAATTATTTTTGGAAACAAGGGACGAACGTCGCTTCGCAAAGAACGCGCCCCTAAGCCGATGAATCCTGTTGCTTGTGTAATTTTTAAAAAATGTGGTGCGTGTGGAGCGTCGTTTCTTCGAAGTTTGAATTTGTAAATTATCAATCAATTCGACATGAAAATTTTCTCAAACGAGGAATTATTTATGTTAAGTACAAAAGTCACTTTGTTATTGATTATTAAACGAAGAATAAAAGTACAAGAAGAACTTGTAATAGAAGAATTTTCTATTAAAATGTGATCGAATAGAAACGATAAAATGTATCATATTTAATATTCATTGTATCGTAAATTCCAGAACATATTTGATAATAGAAAAAAATCTTTTTTTCTCTGTGTGATTGTGATTCACACCTTGAATGTTTCAACGTCTGAGAAACAGATACGTAATAGATTAAATAAACATTAAATAAACATTAAACAAATGTATTTGAGGTAGAAATTCAATCGTGCAGCTTCCACATTGAAGTATACCTTGCTTTATTTTAATGTCAGGTGGCGAACCTTTCATTTAGCATACAATAGAAAATGATAACAATTTTTGAAAGGTCATTTTAAAGGTGAGATTTCCATAACAAACGTAGGAGAAAATTGTTCGAAACCTCGTGGATTCGTTTGAATTTGTTGAAAAATTTTTAAAGAGGAAAAAAAAGCAACTCCATTTCCTTACCCCGTGTATCGACAATTTTTGATCCTTTGATCTCCGCCATGAATCATTTTCAACAAAAGAGCGGGCTTTTATTTGCGAAAGTTATGCGAGAGGGGTGGTAAATAGCA